CGTTTACATGGAGGTAGAGGACCCAAGATAGGTGAGGTAGCCTTCTTAGGTGGGGTAATCTGCCTGTCCAAATAATATCTCATTTTAATTTGATTATGTTAATGTGATTGGTGGGTTGGCCCGCCAAGGGGGGCTGCCTGGTCTGCCAGGCAGGGCAACCATCTTTGCCAGGGCCTAATTTTATCCATGCAAGTGCTTCAAGGTGGGTTAACCATCCTAGCCAGAACAGATTGGTGTTTCATCAAATTGGTTGCCATGTTTTGTTTACACACTTAGCAGCCATTCAATGATCATGGGAAAGTGCACCCCACGATGGCTGGGTTATAAGATTGCAAGGAAATGCAGGTTATTCCTTTACCCCACCCGAGTGGGGTACCTCACCTTACTGGAGTCCTCCACCTCCATGTAAACAGGCCCTAATAGAAGTGTTCACCTTATAGAGAGCCAAAGAAAATGGCCCAGTGACCATTTCTGATTGACAATAATGCAAAATGTCTGGCAAGAGACAATTTTTTTATACGCAACAAAGTGGATTCCTGCTTTTGAGAGAACTTCGTGGTCTGTTTTTTTTTATTGTGTCTATGTGGGAGGGGGAGGGTGGCTTAAAAATTTAGCCTTATTTGCACCTTGCCTCCATTATAGTTCAACTGAAAGTGACCCTATGGACTACTGTTTCACTGTCCACGGAAGGATGTGCAGAAATAAAGTGACAAATGATAACCAACAGTTGATATCATAACCAGGGGTTCTGTAGTTCTGTGCTATAGTTTTAATTTGCAGCTTTTATATTCTCAGTGAAAGTAAATACTAGAACTTATGTTATTGTGGCAGCTGTGAGGGCTAACTGTTTCTTGTGTCTATATGATCATGAGCTGGTCCATCTCAATACCTTTTACTTGTTTTGTATGAAAGGACGATCTCCCTTTTCAATCTATTTTTTATACAAAGAAAAATACATCTATTTGATTGTCTTGAAGATCATCAACAGCAATGGAACACCAACAACATCATTATTGCATTAACAGTATTATTTTTATCCTTTCATGAGCTAAACTTCACTCTCTTGTTCACATCTTGGGAAAAGTAGTTCTCACAATTATCGGCTCTCTTGTGACAGACAACTCTATATTTTGGAAGAAGATTTCTAACACTAGAAAGCTCAGAAAAACTTCCAAGCTCTAGGTGAGAACTAAACTTACGACCCTCCGACTTCTGGTTCAGATGCTTACCAATGAGCTACTTAAGGCTCTATGGCGAGCAGGGTCAAAATGATTTTATTATAATTACACCAGTCAGAGGACTGTATCAGAGACTTGCTGGACACCAAAAGCTAGCCAATGCTGTTGCATGCAAAGAAATGCATGTCAAATAGTCTGAGGCCAGTGGATTGTACTGTCAGAATGTTGAATTCTGTTCGTAACTTGCCCCATGGGCAAGTGAAGTTTTATGGGAAATTCAGTTACAAAAGAACAGTTATCAATCATGTTCATCAAAAACAGTTTTTCAGGCTAGTTAAAATGACCCTTAGGCTAGTACATAATAGCTACAGCTTGCACCCTGACCGCTTTCGACTCTCCACAAGGTGTAGACCTGTTTAAAACAGACACTTATTAAAAGGGCACTTGCTATTTTGTCAGAACCAGCCGGCCACACCAGTACAGTAATTTCAGTGTGACTACTTGAACCAGGGAACCTGGAAGAAGATTATCAAATCACAACTTTTTTGAAATCAAAAGATTCTCAAGTTTTTTTTTGCAAACAGACCATTAAAATTCAAGGTTCATCTATGCAAACGTTGAATACTTTAAAACCGTTGAACTTACCTGACCTCTATGGAAACAGCCCTCAAATTTAAGAATGTTATTGGTCCATTTGCAAAAAACTTGGAAAATCCTTTGTTTTCAAAAACGTTGTGATTGGATCTTCTTCCAAGTCCCCCAGTTTGAGTAGTTGCACTGGAAGAGAATACTATCAACCATAAATATTCTTAAAGTATTCAAGGTAGAAATGTTTTTTTAGCAAAAGATCTTTTAAAAAAGGGTTTGTTCCTTTTTCAAGACAGGTCTAAACTGGGCCTGTTCATCTAGCCAGTTTTAGCTTTTGGGACACACCCTTACTGTCAGTCCTAAACGTGCCTGTTTTCAAAAGGGTTGACCTTATTACAGAAAAATTAACACAGGCTAGAGAGAAGGAGGACTTTGCTTCAAGTCCCAGCTATCACTGCCATAAGGGGCAAAGTAAAAACTTCCAAATTTCATTTTGTAAATTGCTAGAAAACAAATAGTGCCATGTGAAAGCACTACTGATGACTGAAGAGGTTTCATTTAAATGGTCACACCATAGGATTTCATCCACAGACTCAAAAGTTAGAACAACATACTAAATAAATAGTACCATGTGAAAGTACTTCTGAAGAGGTTTCATTTGAAGGGCCCCACCATAGGATTTCATCCCCAGACTAAAAAGTTAGACTCCATCATTCAGTCTCATAAAGATTAACAAACACCATTTTAGCAAAAGAGGCTAGCCTTTCTTAAAGCTTCAGGCCAGTTACTTGATCAAAGCGAAGATGGTGTTCAGCAACTCAAAGGTTTTAAATAACATTATTTGAATCTACTCAAATTAAAAGGCACTAACTGAAAATCTGGCAAATTTTATCAATGGTAATCTTTAAGGCTGCAAGACCCTAGGTGAAAAGTTGCACCAACATTATAGCGGCAACACATCGCAGTGACAAATTTCTTTGTGTGTACTGGAGAATTTAGTGAAAACCCTTGTCTGCGCAACAGAAATTTGTCGCTGCAACAAGTCACACAAATTCAAATCAGATGTGATTTTTTCAATGACAAAATTCCTTTGCCCAGACAAAGATTTTCACAAAAACTCTCCAGTGCATACATAGAGGTTTGTTGTTGCAACGTGTCACACAACTTGTTGCTTGACCTGTACACAACCAGTGATTTGTCATTGTGACATGTTGCAGCAATGTGTCACCTAGTGTGTTCCAAACTTTAGGTTCATACAAAGACAAGGAAAAGGACTGCAATTTTGCCCAGTTCTGGAATTTTGTCTCCAAAAAAAAAAAATGACCAAACAATACACATTTGTGATCCTTCTGAAAGTTTTTCGTCTTTGATCCACTGGCAGTTAGTATTGTTAGTAGGGCTGGCCATTCCATTGGGAGAAGAGAACTCATTTCATAGAAGAACTCATGTGAAAATGTTTCTTTAATTGTGGTATTTGACTACTATTTTACCAATAGTCTCTGAATTGAGGTAAACTTTGATCATTCTTAATATCTGGCCCATTGCATTATACAACCATCCAAGAAAGTTTAGGTTTCAAAGGCTAGAATAAGTCAGATGAAATCAAAATTAGTTCACATTGTTCAGTCAAAAGAAGGCAACAATAAAAGAAGTGACAAAATGTTTCGTATTTACTACAGTAAAATTCTCTCTTGTAAAAGACACGATCATCTCTTGGTGTGACTGCATCTTTGGAGAACCTTAACCAACTATGAAAGCAATGACAGCAATGAAAATACCATTAATCACCATCCCTTCCCATTCATAACACCTTTTTGTACATTCTGTACAAGTACAACACAAAAACTGCTGACAAATGATTTATGTGGGTGCAAGAACACACAGAAAATAAGTTTTCTCTGAACTCTTTCTAACTTGGACAGGAATCCAGCTCCAGGATGATTTGGTTACAAACAAAAAACTGAGCAAGTTGGATTAACCGCAATGATGCACAAATTTACTTTAATCTAATTTCCACTGCTGTCATGGCTGCTTAAAGTATCTAGTATGCTCTTGCATTTATTCAGTTTATACCACAACTAAGGTTTAAGGTTTTTAAAGTTTGTTTTATGAGGCTGAGTATTTAAATATATTAGTAAGCATAATCAACATAATGACAAGGGCACAATGATCCAAAATTGACAATGCCCTTTTGTTTCTGTTTTGAGAAGAATACATGAAATTTTAACATAAATTTGTTCTATGTTTGTGCAATAATAATAGAGAGCTTTAGATTTGAGGACAAGGACGAATATCACTACGAGATTTAACCCAGAATACTTCATTGTTCTATTTTTCACCTGAAAAATAGTAGTTTCCCGGTTGCAAAATGATTACACTTCTAAAATTTGATAACTTGTTTCTGCCACTATGACATTGTCGCTAAAACTCATAGTAGAATGAAGACAGCTATTGCGTTTTCCTGCCAAAATGACAAGGTTCACGTAAGAGCAGTAGTTAGTACTGAGAAAATCTCGTACTCGTAGTTGTCCTCGTCTCAGAATCTAAAGCTCTCTTATATTTACTTTACCAATGACAAAGTGCTAAGTTCTCAGTAGAAATAAAAAGGTAGGACTCAAGGTTGACAACTGGCCCTGCGTGTAGCGCAGTAAAAAGCAAGCTGGATAGAATGATAGTTTGTTGCTTTCTGCTACACTGCAACCTTTACAGTCAACAAGAATGACAACCACTGCTCCCCTCTTTCCTTTCTAAAAGCAGTTACAAAGGCTTGAATATTCCAGTTCTAACTTCTGATCCCAAGGCCAAAATCCCAAACATTTGCATAACCATTTAAATGAAATCTCTTTGGCTGGTGCTCTTTTGTTTTCAGTACTCAATATAATAAATGAAATCTGGGATCTCTCCTGGAAAGCAAGTTTGGGCATCTTTGAAGTTTGAGGTTAACAATGCTTTGACATCTTGGTGTTTTACTCCCTCGTGAATAAGCATCGGTTCTTCAAAAATTTATGACAGTCATTTAAAACACAGACAGCCAAAGACTGCAACAATACTTTTCCCTCAAGAACCTCATAGTATTTAAACAAGCATTTTCTCCTGGAAAGACAAGCAAATTGTTGTCGAGGATGTTGCCTAAGGTTCATGCAACAACACTGAAATATTTTGAACAACAGTGTTAATTGGAAAAGCGAGCTCAGGTTCACTCTAGATTATAAGATCTTGAGATGAAGGCCGCTGTCATGTAGAGTGCTTGCTTTCCACCAAGGTCCGTAATTTTTCATTTTCTTGTTTAAGTTCCTGATTTTCCTCAGTGAGTTTGGATATTGTTTCCTTTAATGTCTGAACTTCTTTGTTTACAACACTAAGTAGGTCTGACTTAATCTGAGTAATTTGTTCCTGCAGGGACAAAGATAGTATTAATTATAACATTAGTATATGGTTTACAAAAGCACAAACTGGCACGCAAACAGCAAGCTATTGCAATGACACTTTGCGAAGAACTGCAAGCAAACAACTGCGTATATAAGCCCCTGCTAAAGGCATCGGGCCACCCCTACTATAGCTGGGGAAACAGCTGACCAGCACTGCTTCGAGGTTAACTTTGCCTAAATTACATTTAGCCACATAACATATACTACAAAAAAGAATAGTGCTGATTGGCTAGCTCAGAGATGATTAGCCACGTACTGATTACCTCTGACCAGCTGAAGAAAAACAATAACCCAGTTAAGACCTGAACTACTCTTTCTTCACTGATTGTAGAGTCATCCAGAAACAAATTGTTTCAATTTGTTTTACACAAGATTACTGAACATTTGAATTCATTAATTTGCAAGCAAGTCAACCTAGGATAACTAATACAATTTACTTTCAAATAAATACTCTACACATGCCCCTGCGCGCAAAGAAAGTAGTGTCTGATAGCCCAGGGCTAGTGGATTTTGCTATTGGGCTAGTAAATTCTGTTCAGAACTTGCCAGAAGGGCAAGTGAAGTTTCTAGGGGAATTCAAATCACGGAAGAGCTGTAATCAGTCCTGCTGGTCAATAATTTTTTGAGGGCTAGTTGCCCAAATAGCAAGCTGTAAAACTGACTTTCTTTGCAGCCTGATGCACACATACAAGCCAATCAGCTTTGATATAAAAGATAAACCATGAGTCCACATACCATTGCCGTAGCAATTTTATTTACAATAGGCATCTCAGCATCTGCAGTGCCTTGTCTGAAAGAGAAAAAGCCAAAAGTATCATCACTTTCCCTTCCCCAAAATTATATGATTCAATTCTTGCTGTATAGCTACAAAATAAATAAATAAATAAATAAATAAATAATGCACTTTCTTTCAGTGTCAATGTATTTAGCACAAAAATACTAATTGGGGACACTGTTTTTTACGTCTCCTACTGGAGACGGGACTGCCATTTCACATGGTCATCCAAGCCATGTAAAGGTCCAGCCACTTGCAGGGCAAAGGAAGTACCTTCATTTCTCAGTTATTTTAAGACCCTGAGTATTGTTCCGGCCCTGGGAATTGAACCCACGACCTCCCGCTCTGCAGTCAAGCGCTCTACCGAATGAGCTAATCCCGCCGCAGTTGAAAGGATAAAAGGTTAAAAGCCTACATGTAAGTACATTCCAACCAACATGTGTTTAATTTCGCTCTCGGCTTATAGCCGATGGTTTTACCTTTTTTTTTGGGCAGCTTGAGTCTAGCGTAAAGACCCTGACTTTCAGGGTCTCGGCTTATAGCCGAGATCGGCTTATAGGTGAAGAAATACGGTACCTCCCATGAGTGACCACTTATCCAAAAAGCCACAATTTTCCCAGTTAAGGATTTACAGTTGGAACCTCTCATAAGCGACCACGACCACTTTTTAGGAGACGGTTTTAGAATTCTCCATTGTTATTAACCTTTTTTAAGTGGCCTCATGATACAGGGTTCGTACTCTTTTGCGCTTTTCAAATTCCATGAATTTCCATGACTTTTTCCATGACCTTTGGTTTAGTTGTCACTTTAAAAAATGTTCACAATTTTCCTTTTTTGGGGGTATTTTTTGACCTTAAACAGTTCAATAGACACAAACTCAGGTGGCCACCAAAACGCATGCCATTTGCACTCTTTAATTACTCCTCTCTATCCTAAATTGTCCTTGATTTGTCATCTGCAGTAACTAAGCTACCAAACAAAATTTTCATTTCCCATGACTTTCAAGGACCGACATTTAAACTCCATGACTTTCCAGGCCTGGAAAATAACATTCTTAAATTCCATGACTTTCCAGGTTTTCCATGACCTGTACAAACCCTGTGATACCATGGTCTAATCTTTATGTTCAGTGTATGCAAAGGGTACACAGAGTATGAGAAGATCTTTTAGAAACAACATGATTTACATATGTTGTAACCTTAAAAACGATTACTGGCTAAAACTTGTGGTAGAATGAAGACAGCTATCGCGTTTTCCCGCCAAAAAGTCAAGGTTCACGCTAGAGCACTAGTTAGTACTGAGAAAATCTCATACTCATAGTTGTCCTCATCTCAGAATCTAAAGCTCTCTAATATTTACTTTAGGTACGAGCAATGCAAACATTTTTGTTCGTTTCCAATGACAAAGTGCTAAGTTCTCAGTAGAAATAAAAAAGTACGACTCAAGGAGAAGATCTTTTAGAAACATGATTTACATATGTTGTGACCTTAAAAATTCCTTGCAATACATTAACTCCAAGAAGTGGACGTGTCTGGACTTCTTTTTGTAAGAGACCTCTTGCAGTTCGAATTCTCGTGAGAGACCACCAACTCATCCCATTTTCGGTGGTCGCTTATGGGAGGTTTGACTATATCCGATATTTCGACAGGCATGTCTTGGCTTCCTCAGGTAATACATTATGATCTCCTTGCAAGAAAATGAGACTTAAAATAATTGCTTCTTTATTCTACAAAAATTTGCTAAAAAAATCTGGTAAAATCAGACACCTTTGTTTGATCGGTGGTCTTTGCTGTAACCACCAAAACATTGTTCTAAATAGTCTGTTGAGAATTAGCCTGTATCGCTGGAGCAGAAAATATGGTCCTTTCAGACTAAACCCACTTGGGCAATTTTAATGTTGTTTCTATACAAGATACTCATGGCTATTCTTCTGCAGATACAACACTCACATCCTCAGGGATACAATATTAGAAATAAAGTGGGACATAACTACAGTAATTTCTAGAAACTTATGCTTCACCTGTGCAAATTTGAATATTTTACCAAAAAATAACCCGTGAGTATTTACACAGCCTGTGAGTTACAATAAAAATAATATGCTTGCTTGTTTCTTTTACTTCAGCGACTCAACCAACAAAATTGGTTAATCAGAGTATTCCAAAAGAAATCTTGGTGTCCATGGGCTTCATGGGTAAAAAAAACTTCATTTCTTCAAAAAGTGGCTGAACAAGATTATACACAACTCTTGCAAAAATATGGATAAAATATGTGCATAAACATTGGCTCTCAAAATAGAAATACAGTAATATTACCATTTTACAAGTTCCTCTCTGCAGATTAAGTAACTTGCATCACTGATAAGGAAGTTAAATTCAGTTATTTTTTTAACTCCTTTTTTAGAAAATAAAGACAAATGATAACAGCTTCAAAGGAGCATAACAATGATATCTAAAACTAAAACAGTCTTTTTCTAATAAAAATTCACATTTTCACTCTTTGGTGCAATCTAAATACTTAAAAAGAATGCGTGGAACACAGTAACTGATTCTCAACTGAGATCGCTGCAGCTGCACAAGGAAGATGGTAAATGTATCTCAACTACAGAAAAACTTTGACCATGCTAAAACACAGCAGATGGAATTTTTCTTTGATGAGGTAATGCCTTCTCAGATTAAACTTGCCCGGAAGGCCACTGCAAATGTCAAACAACTAATAACCCTGTTCACAGCAAGAGCTAAAAAAACAACCTGTACTCTTTTTTTTACCACTGCCTTAATACCTTCAGAAAAAAGGAAGAATACACATGCTCAAAGTAACTTATACAGCCAAAACAAACTCTCGTTTATGGAAATTAACGCCTTGAGTTTTGCTATCGGCACAGCATGAAAGACATGCATAACATTAAAAATCACTTAACCAGCAAAGGTTCTGAAAAACAACAAGCCACACTGGAAGAAAAGCATTATCAGAGAGCACAAAAACAAATCCCTGATAGGGAGATCTGATCATCTTAACCTGTACTACCATAAGTTCAGAGATTTAGACATTTGTCCAGATGAGAGAAAAACATTAGTTTCTGGACATATTGGCTTTACAAAATTTTACACCTCAGTTGAAGATCAGGTGAATCACCTAGTTACAAAAACCAATTTGCCGACAAACGTCAACTTAAACAGGAATAAACATCTGATTTGATGCATTCAAAACTAACAATATTTCATTGGCATATGCATCTTATTTATCCATTGAAAAATTGTCAGCATATCACCACGGGATTTAGGAACATTTTGACAGGACAACAAAGCTAAAACACAACATTTCATGCTACATTTTCGTGGCAAGAGAAAAATGGTAGAAAAGGACAATCAACAACAACAAATTAAAATACAACAGCATTTACATTTTCATGAAACAGCTTTACAATACAAAACACTAAAGGGTCTTTATGAACATTTTACAAAGGCAATACCAAATAGATGATTTAACTCTGTGTCTTCAGAAAGTACAATATAACTGCATACTGAACCAAACCACAGAAGTTTTCATAGAGAATGCTAATTTGTAGGAAAGATACATGTATTTTCAATAAGGAATTTTTTCACTCCTATTTTGTGCTTCATTGGTAGCAAATTTCTTGCGGAAAGGAACTTTTAAGAGATTTGGTCAGTTAGACTGAGAACAATTCAGGAAATGCCATTGTTACAAAATGCGATTACATATTGTACGACATATAGGGAGTTTAGAAACTGCCTCGAGGAATCTCTTTAAAACATTTCTTTTAAGAAAGAGCTGGCAACTTACTTTATTTATAATCAGTGACAATATGGTTTAACCAGCCGTCAAATACACAACAAACTCGAAGAACTCCAGCTTAATAACCGGCTTTCCTCAAACCTCACGTGGAATACAAATAATATTATTGTAAACAGTACAGTAAAAGAGCAAAGAACGAATCAAATCAGAATTTTATGGTCACTTGGTTTAAAAATACTACAACATCGCCAACATATTTTCTTCGATTGAGAAACCACAACATTGAGCTAAATGGTACAATGCCTATGGTCAACCCTGAACAAGATATAATGTTTAAACAAAAGAATTATGAACGAGAAAGCCGGCAACAAATTAAGAAGCTGTCTGCTTGTAGCAATGGATCATCAATAAATAATGTGGTCTGGGAGAGTCAATAACTTCCAACGCTGCAATTTAAGACTTATTGAAGCGAAATAAGTGGGGGCAATAGCCGAAAACATTGCTTAGGCCATCTAAACGCGAGGAAAAGCTCGTTGTACAGCGACTTTTGGAAAACTCTCCAGGGACTCTAATCGATTATCGCCTTCACCACGTTGCGCCACATACAGACTATTGCTCACAGCTCGATATCTAGTGGAGAACTTACCCTGCTGAAACAAGTAATTGCGCTCCTTCGAGGGAAGTAGTATCAAAATTTTCCACACCGAACGAAACTCTTGCTACTGAGGAATCGCTATGCTTTGCAAGTTCACCAACACCTCCCAATTTTGTTTCAGAATCCTTCTTTTTCAAGGCTATATGTACTTCCCCTGATATAGAATTGTGTTCATTTGCTTGTGTTGTCGACGGCTTTATAGCCGAGCCATGCGTTTGGATTTCTGACAATTGCGAGTCTGTATCACTTGCTATATGATTGCCAACGGAATTGCTAGTTGAATTTATCCTTGCACTAGAGTGGGAGTCCGTTTTCTCCACATTGTCTCTCAAAGGCTGAGCAGATATATTTGCCGAAGATAAAGTAGACACACTTGTAGAAGATTGCGTAGACTCCACATCAGGAAAGTCGTGGCATTTCCATCGGCCACGTAGATAGGATTTATCTAATTGCAGTTTAACTACTTTAAATCTAGATCCACCATTGCCATTTGCAGTTCCTACATCTGAAAAACCAAGCTCCACTTGGACTTCTTCATGATCATCTTCAACTATATCGCTTTCGTTCAAATCGCCATCATATCCATTACTATCACCACGATTTCGGGCTTTAGTCTCGATAACACTGGTGATCTGGAAAGAACTTTTTTTCTTATGTCCTGGGATAGGTGCTGAACTATTCGAACTTAGTGTAGGCTTAGATACAAGCCCGGTTTGTGAGTTTGTTGCCGGAACGGCGAACTGTACTTGAGGAGAGCGAACCGCCTCTTGGCCATGCGAAACGTTGGCCTGACCGCGTTGTTGTTCGCTCATATCATTGTCGACTCCCTCGGCCATGAAAAATCTAAATTGGCTGAAATGAAACCGACGGATAGACCAACAATGTGTGAATCCCCATGACAAAAACTACGGAGTAAAAGCTCACATTTTAGCCAAAAACAGCCCAGAAAGTTGAGTCAAAATGGCGACCCACCATCATAACGCCTCACAGTAACCTACAGACATGACGTCCTATTCTGTGACCGAGGCAGCCAATAAGCGTCCATGTTGCCATATTTGGCCCAAGCTCACTCCGAAGGTTCAGCGTGCGCGGTTAGGCAATTTTTCGTGATACACCGACAACGTCGACAACCTATCATTCATTTGTCACCAAACCACATTTGTTCTGATTAAGTCTTCTAAATATATGTATCTCGTGATAAAACAACCTATCTTGACATTATTTATTCATCTGTCTATTAAAATTATCTGGCTGGTACAGTCTTTCATCTACAATATTTTTACGACACAAAAATGTCTCTTTTTTTCATATTTTTCATATAAGTCACCTGCTTATATGAAATAGGTTTTGGCCGTTATTTTATCCCAAGTCGTGCCTAAACAAAATCATATTTTTAGTCAGCTTTCTGGAACGGTTAAGCATCAAACGGAACCTCTCTCAGTTTACATGTCGAGAATTCACATTGTTTCGCAGAGGGTGACCTCGGCTCTGTTAAACTCCAGTAATAATTATTGCAAAAAGTTGAAAGAAGGCGAAAAGAAACTCAGTCTAGTGACGTTATTTTTACCATTCATTTCGAATATTAACTAGTAGGCGAGGATCCCATGAGGGTTTTTTTAAGAAACTAAGGGCAAATGGAGGAATGAAGTCCGGCTTGGTGTTCAGTGATCTTCCTTAACTGCGCGCCAGTACACAACCCCCGTCCCGAATCTAAGAGGATTAGTAAAGCCGGGGAAAGTTAAGTGAAGCTGAAAACCTAGAAAGGCCAATCCTTATCTTAAAATGCTATGGTTTTCACTTATTTTCCGTTGTGGTCGGTACAATGACATAATTTGAATAGCAAATGAAACAATCTTTCGCCTGAATGCCATCAGTGAATATCATAAATTCGCAATTTCATTTTTTGCAGAATGGCAAATTCATGAGGTTTGTTCCAAAACTGGACCTGAGATACCCGAATTGTTTTACACTGAAACAAGCAAGTTTTCTTGCTGAATTCTTACAGATAACTGAGTTGAACTGTACATATATAATTCTCTTTAGTCAGTTACATTATCGTACGTAAATGAAAGCGAAATGTAATCAGCCTTCAGACTCAGCCTTGAAAGAGCCAAATGTAGGAATTATGTTTCGTCTATAGCAAATTTGAAGTTTCCATCTTTTGTGTAATTATACATTTTGGCATGCATCCATTTTTATTGGTGAATGTTACTAAATTAATTAACTAAATAAAATCGATTTTAAAGGGAAATGTTCAAAACAGTGTCACCATTTGTAGATTACTATTCCTTATTTTAATCTTTGTAAAATATGGCTAACTTATTATACTTGGAGATGTTGCGATGCGTACAATTTAACTTCCATAGTCAGAATCAGCTCCTCGCACTGAAAAAATATCTTATTTATAAAAGCCATTTTGGGCAACAGTTTCTATTGTCATTAATTCTTAGCGTTTTGAATTTCTTCGATATAAAACTCAGTATCAGTTTCAAAGAAAATTGCCTGCTATATTTGTACCAGATAAAAAGAAATAATTTACATTCATCCTACGCGAATATTCTTAAGATCTTTCATTTATTAATACAGTCCACTCCTGATAACTCGAACCTTCAAGGTAACGCGAAAAAAGTTCGAGTTATCAGGAGCTCGAAGAAAATAGCCGGGAGCAAGGAAAAAAAAACACTTTTTACTGCACAGTGAACATTTCAATCACATTAATTTTAGAAATGTTAAGTGAAAATTGAAAGATACTTCTAGATTATAAATCAGAACGGAACGTAACAAAACGTTGCCTAAATAGAGCATGCAATTTTGAGAAGTAAAGCTGTTTCACTTTGTGACAAACAACATCAGCCTCCACTATCGATCCACTAGTAAAGGTCAATAAACTATATGCCTACAACACGTCAATGGGGAATTAAAAATTCAATCATTTTCGGACGCCAGTACACTGTTTTTTTCCCGACTTTTTAAGGGCTCAAAACATGGTTCGAGTTATCGAGGGTAAAACTATATAGAAATGATCTGAGGGGAAACAAAAATTTCTTTGAGTTAGTGGGAGGTTCGAGTTACCGAGAGTTCGAGTTACCGAGGGTAAAATTACAGTAAATGTATAACAATCGATTTTGGTTCGAGTTAGCGAGGGTTTCGAGTTATCGGGAGTCAGCAGTAAGTTCGTTCATACTGCTGCAATTTATTCCAAGAACAAGGCATTTAGCAACTGCGCCACACAGTTGATAATAAAGCTTCCGCATTAGTGAGTTTGACTTTCTATGATCTGAGAATCTGATGTTGATTAGGCAAGAAAAAGCGTCCGTTGTCCGCATTAACGAGGTGTCCTTGCTAAACGAGTTGAATTTAGAAGATTTGTAAGGGCTCTCCCCAGAGGGACAAAGAAAACTGTCCTTGATAACGAGGCGTTCGCATTCAGCGGGTGTCCGTGAAGCTTCCGTGAGGCGGGGTTCGACGAGGTTCGACTGTTTCCGGACACGTGTGGACTGGGGCCTAGTCTTTGTCTCGTTTCCAAGGTTTTTCGTCCAGGAAGCTGACATGGTCACGTGTTCCCCAAATCTGCAAGTCTTACGTAATTTTTTACAATTAAGGCGAGGGTACTAAAACTGGGCTAGTAGTTAAACTGTTATTTTGAATTACTATTATTATTGATATGAATAATAATATTATTACTTTTTCATAATTCAAAAACTATCGCATTTTTATCTATAAAACTAATAGCTACATATATTGAATAAAATATTGTAAAAAGCTTGTTTCCATTTGAATAAAGGAATTCCTCTAAAGGTTATGTCACGTTTAAGGATGTAAACGGATATAAAGTTATACGTGCACGGCTTTCATTCTTATACGGGAGACACTACTGATCGAACGAACTTCGAAATTGGTCAATGCGGAAAATACCATAATTTTCTTTAAACTCCAGCAAGCAATATCCTTTGCTCTTTGCACGATTTGAACGTGCAATGCATCCGCTTCTTTTAAAATTGCATCTGATACGCTACATCTTCAATTCACGCAACGAACAAACCGGAATGCAAAAGTCACGTTTACATGAGGCACCGCCCAGACTGACTGTGGTAGTTTCCGCTTTGGCGAATGGTCGCCTGGGGGCGAGCCCTCATTTCGAGTGGCGAGCGAAGCGATCCGCGAGACCGAGTAGCAAAGCCACACGTCGCTCTCGCGTCTCTTTTCGTGTGCCGCGTGCGCGTGCGTGTGCGCGTGACTTTTCACAAGAGCCATAATGGTCCCAATACGCTCTTCTCACATATGGTAATATGCCCGTCTAACCTCGTTTACGGGTAAAAATTCTTTTGAAATTCAAATACGAAAACGTCGTCTGATTAGCATTTCAAAGGTCTTTTTACTCAAAAACGAGGTTAGACGGGCATATTATCATACGTGAGAAGAGCGTATATGGCTCTTGCTTTTTAGGATATCCCCCAATCGGAGAGCTTGTTTGCAGTCAACGTAAATGGTCTCCCGAGTGGATAAGTTACGAAACGGATAAACAGGGTTTATAAACCAAAACAGACTTCAGTTGACATGGCCTAGTGTAATGCGCTTTTTGCGGACAAGGAAAACAGCGTGGATTCAGGAGAAGGGTCCAGGGTCTCCGCACCCTCTCCCCCTAAAAATGGCCTTTCAGATCTCAGGGATCACCTGGCAGCCAAAAAAAGGAAACTTACGCAACACTTCGTCTCTTAACCTTAAAATACTTTTTTACGTTTAACCATGCATGGAGTAAAACCACAAACCGCATTCACAGTGCCACTGCTGCAGCAAAAACCGGGCTAAATCAGACAAATGAGGTTAAACAAGGCACTTCCAACATGGTAAATGGTTCTAGTTTTCATTAAACAATCATCATATTTATTATTCTATACTCATAATCAATGTATTTTCACATAATATCTCTATACCCAAATGTAATATTAGAGTAGTATAAATAGTAAATCAAATTCAATTGTCTAGTTATTATAAAAATAATTGTTTGCCACTACGTATAAGGAATTCCCCCTTTGATTCTAATGTCTCTTAAAGACTAAATCCTTTCCCATTCCCCCCACCCCATTTGTAAAGCAGGGTCTTTTTTGTTTCGTTTTCCGAACCAAATGACGCTCTCAGCAAAACAACTTTTATCTCCATCCAAAGAAGGTTAAATAAAATAACTTTTTAAAACAAGTTTGTTCAGACATGCACTTTTCTCTTAAGTCAATTAGAGATAGTCGAGTGCGCGCACGAAAATTAAAACCGCGGGGAATTCACTGCTAGCGAAAGGGGGTGCTGAGGGCGTGAGGGTGGCTCCGTGTTCGCCCTCGCCCTCGCGCGAATGCTTTGCCCTCGCTGTCGTTGAATTCCTCGAAAAAAGGAACTGAGAAGAAAAGAGAAAAGTAAGGGGAAAAAAGGCTGGAGGACGAATTGGTTTATAATGTGGAGGCAACGTGGCCAAGTGGTCGGTACGTCGGACTTGCAATCCGGCGGTCCCGGGTTCGAGTCCCGCTCTGGCCACTAGCTGGATTTGTACTCGGTGTGTCCTGAGTTTAAATCCTCTGCCACTAATGTAAACAGCCAACTGGATGCCTCCTGCCAGTTGGGGTTTTTAATCTTGTTATGTTCTAACCTGCGATCAGGCGCTCCTGATCGTAAGTAAGTTATGTTCTGTTTGGATAATGTGTTCCTAATTATTTACTTTGAGTACCTATAAACTATAAACAAACATTTAGGGCCAGTCACTTAAACGAGGTTTAGCCAGTGTTTAACAAAACCCCGTTCTAAGTCATTTTCAGTTTGCCCAACGCTTTACGTAAACACCATTTATTGTGAACAGTGTCATGAAAACATATGGCGTAGACTAGAACAGCATTTGTCTTGTTAAAATAACCCACTAAGGAAGATATCTGGAGGTTCAAAGATTTGCTAAGCCCTGGTACTAAGATAAACTTCGCTTTAATAACCGACCCTTATAAACCTTTTAATCAAGCATGCGACCATTTGCCTTCTTGATAATAAATGAACTGTAACACTCATCAGAAGACTCCTCCCTCTCATCCGCGGAGGCTTCCTCCAATCATAAACAAAATAAGAAGGAAAAAGAGCGCGCGCGAAAACGCGATTCTCTCCTTCTCTTTTTCCCTAACATCGTCCCCCGCTCTTTTCTTCCTCGGCCCAGCTCTCTCTCGCACTAAGAGGCCCGTGCAGAGGAGAGAGACACGGCTCCTAATAATTGTATTATCATACAACACCCGCCATCTAGCTTAGGGTGGATTTCCACCGTCGGTTAATTTTTACGTGCGTACGGACGTAAATTTTACAGGCGTAAAAAAAGTAGATGCGATGTGTGAAAAGGCGCGCGTAAACGTAACATTTGCCTGCTGTGCGCTTAGCTCCTGTGAACTACTGGGAAGAGAAATGCAATTTAAACTAGTCATTCATGACTCCTGGAGTCCATGCTATACAGTTCTCGCAGTTCTTTTGTTCGTCCTTTCTGAATTAGCTGATCTCCAAATTTTTCGGCCTCCAAATCTCCACAAAGAAATTCGCCAAAGTAACGGAGCGAGTAGAAGACTGATGGTAGTAACGCTAAGGATAATAAGATAAACCTGAAAAAAAATAACAATATCAACCACTCAATGAACGAATTCACAGTTATTTTCGTCCCCTCGCTCAGGCGAAAAATAAATCACTTTCTTTAGCCTTAAGTCAACAGGCCCCATGCAGCTCAGGGTCACGTGACCTATCTTATGCCATAATTATGGGATAGGTAGGTAAAAGGTCAAGGTGCACACGAACCAAAGACCCACATGCCCGGAGCCTATCCCGATATCCTTAGCATAAAGCATGCCTAGGAGTATTGCTACTCTTCCTGGATGGGATAATAGTCCATCGCAGGGTTGCTCTCCAGCAGTATGTCACCAGTATCCATTTATACTCCTGGGTAGCCTGTGAGCATGCTCTCCGCGCAAATGGAGAGCTTGCTCGCAGGCTAACACCTGGGTGAAGACAGACAAAGTGGAGTAAAGTTCCTTCTCTAATGAAACAACGCGACGGGCGAGGCTTGAACCCCGGAAACATTATGGCATACAAGCTTAAAGTGCCACTGAAGCCAAAAATAATCTAGTGAAAAATAGCAATAAATTATTAGTTCGATATCTGATTGAAAAGGAAAATAAGTTTTGACGCTAGGAAAACGTTGTTTTCGGCATTTTTTTCCAACACAAACATGGCCAAATTGCGGCACAAAGGGCGACAAGCAGGTCCTTAATTAAATATGCATATGACGTCACATGGTTGACTCGTCGAGCGCGGCGAATTCACATTTCTAGTCAGATCACTGTGATGGCGAGAACGCGCAAATGGAGAGCTTGCTCGCAGGCTAACACCTGGGTGAAGACAGACGAAGTGGAGTAAAGTTCCTTCTGTAATGAAACAACGCGACGGGCGAGGCTTGAACTCCGGAAACATTATGGGATACAGAGATTGAAAGAGCATAAAACAGCTAGTGGGTCTTTCAATTTACCGTTTTTAAACTCTCGATAGTGTGATTTTATGGTGATTTTAATAATGAGAAAATATTATATGTATCAATGGAAAAAGTTGCTGGGCTGCATGGCTTGCAGTCCTGCAAAAGTTTCCATATATTTGTAAACCTTCAAAAGTTTGTAGGCATTCCAACATCCAGTCACTTCGAAATTAGCTTTTCAGCTAAATTTCTAATGCTCTCTCCATCTCTGGTACTGTTTAATTTGTACCCCATGATTTCTGCATCAAACAGGTCACGTGCCTGTCAGCTACAAAAGGCGTGTCACTCATATTAGACGACTATACACAGATGGCAAACAAAAGGCAATCTCGCTTCAACAGAGTAAGACAGGCCTCTTTCTCCTTTGACCCCATTCACAGTTTGAGCAAACAACCAAGTTCCCGCACTTCGACAAGGTAATTTCTTGAATCTTACTACACGCTGAATTAAGAATCAAGGAAAACATACCTCTCTGGAAATAAGATGAAACCTTCGTGCTCTGCTTCCCAGGACAAATGAGAATTCACTAACTTGAGCCAAACCAGCGGCCACTATATACTTCGTGGTTCTTGTTTCACACAAGAATAACCGAAGGACCAACACAGAGACAATGAACTGAAAAGAAAGCGAGATGAAATGAGATTTAGAAAGGTATTTGTCAAGTCTCCTACATCATGGGCATCATGTCCAGCAACATGTACATCACGGATACAGACTGACGTCCCTCTAGTGGAGAGTTACTGCGCTTTTCAAAAACACGCGAATTCTGAAGTTCAAAAGCCAACTGACGTGTGCGCTTTTCCCTGCCATCATTAGGGACCTTAAGCAAAGACGCTTTTGAGCGACGCACGTCAACCGGAAGTGAGGCCTTCTCCCTTTTTATATGCCTTGACGCTAACAAACTTGTATTGCTGAGTTTCTTTTCTCTTTTAAAGACGATTTAACCGAGAGTTTCAACCAAACCGCTCCCCAATGATGCAAAAAGTCCACTTCCGGTTGACGTCCGTCCCTGAAAAACGCTGTTGCTTAAGCTCCCTAATCACCTTAACGGACCTCTTACGAAACTGGGCCCAGTTGTTCGAAAGCCGAGTAGCGCTTAACCCGGGGTTAAATTTAAACCGGGTTCCTTTTTATTGTGTTTGAAAGCATTTTCTCGGATAATTTTCTGCGCTATTTTTAGAGCTTCCAATCATCAACTTGTAGACAAAAAGAATTAAAACTGAAATGCTTTTTAAGCTTTCAAATCTGAATTCAATTCTCGCACTAACCCTGGGTTATCTTAACCCAGCTTTGAACAACTCGGCCCAGAAGTTTACTTTAACGGGTTCAAAAGGTTATGGTTTGTGATTTGTGGATTTCCATCAGTTTTGTGTGTTTCTGTGTTTCAAGGTTCGTTGCTTGTAATCGTAATTATGATTGACGGCAGCGAAAAACGCAATTGTAAAGTCGGCTTTTAAACTTCAGAGTTCGCGTGTTTTGGAAAAGCGCAGTAACGAAAAGGAGTAAGGAAAGGCAGGGACCAACTCTAGGTACCGTAATCCTTTATTAAGCCCTAGCGGGGGGGATTATTTATTTATTTCGAGCACGCTTGAAGGGGGCGCTTGATAAAGAGGGTTGCTTATTCTAGAGTGGGACTTATCTAATTTGGCAAAACGGAGCGCTATACTGCTTTTTCAAACAACCAGAGGATGGTATAAACTTTCCATAAGGAACTACAACACAAAGCGAAAAAGCTCAAACACGTTAATTAATACAGTCTATCACGATGATCTTGGTGCGATTTCTGTGACAGAGCGAAGCTATGCCGCACCGATCTCTAAAGTGGAGAGTCACATACAGCTATTTCGAGAAAGGCTGTCGGAAAAATGTGCACGCCACAATCCCTAAAGGTAATATGGGATATGCTCAATACACTGTTCCTGACACTGTAGCTGTCGAACCTATTTTTGTTGCTTTCCTTTAGCACTCACAGACATATGTCCATGGCTTCTCCTGCTATTCTTTCAAATTTCTTTGAAAAACAGTAAATACAAAACCACCCACAATACCTTTCGAGGTTGTCGCGTGCACTTCATCCGACAACCTTTCTTGAAATAGCTGTATCAGATAGGTGTTCATACCCTACCAGATAGCTTATTTGAGAGGAGGTGGGGGGCTTAATAGAGCATTTACAGTATCTATTCTGGCGAGGTAACCGTCTAAAGAAGAGTAAACAAAATGAAATAAAAACGGCAGGGAGGCAGGTGTCCATTTTAGAGGTGTGTTTTTCCTATTGAGGCGCCAGTTAAGAGAGGAGCAAATTTAACTGTTAAGTTTCACACCTTCCCTAAAAAAAATGGTTTTCACCAAATTATGTGATGTGACTCAAAAGTTGAGGTTTTAAGGGCGAGCTGTTATGGTTTATTTATCAAGTGACGGAGTTTGCTAATTGCATAAAAGGGAAACATGGAAAATACAAAAGAGAGAGAAGTACTGTGGTGTAACTTTAATTTCAGTTGACTCCTCCGAAGTTTACTCCGGTCCACTCAAACAATTGACAAAAATAACTTTACCACAAAGCTCAAGATGTCATTCTTGCTCGCATAATAAAGACAATTTCAATATATACGGGGAAAGAATCGTAATTATAAAGTACAATAAGAAATTGAGCATTCCGCCTTTTATTGCCTACCTTCACTGAAACGACTCCAAGGGTAAGAGTCAATACAAGAGGAAATTCTGTAAGCACGAACGTTGGAAAGACATGAAGACCTGCCAAAAATATTTAAATCTTTTAACAACGTCACTCACAAACCGTTTCATCACTACCTCGTTTGCGAAGGCTCCAACTGGAACGCGCAGGGATCAATAAAAAAAAAAAACGCAACGACACAGCTTTCCCTTTCCCATCGTTCCCCTCGCGCTTTCTTTCCCTCTTCCCAGTCTGTGCGCGATTTAGACCTGACAGTCGCACAAAAGAGACCTCCACCGAGGAGACAACCTTTGACACAAAATAAAACACAGCGTAACAACATATGAGCCTACAGTTGACCAGGTTTTTGGTCAGTGGCTCAGTTATAGCCTACCAGCAGATACACTTGTGTGTGTTCCTCGCACGATAGCGGCTACGCCGCCAAAATTTTCCCGAACCCGCACAAGTGAGCCTGGGCACAGGCTTAGTTAGTTAGAGCTATGCACTGGTATCGCTTTCCCTCTAGCAAGTCCTATTTTCCGTCGTAATTTGGATGTAGACAGGAGCAATGCAGATGTCATGGATTCGAATCTCAATGCTGAATTCCCGAATTTTTTCGACGACTGCGTAAAATAGTAAAATAGTTGCGAAGCTTCATACAACTTCTTCCTTTATAACTATCGGCCATTTCAAGGCTGCTCTTGAGACTGGGTCAGTGTTGTGTTGAGGTATACTACGGGATTGTTTTGAGGTACGAGTTTTCTAACTCAGCTTCCCCAGCGACCCAAAATCAGCCAATAAAAGACGCACTGGCGGTATTCCCAAAACAGTCTCATAATGCATTTCGATGCGATACCGACCCAGACTCAAACTCATTTGGACAACTATGTTATGAGGACACATGGTTCTGTCACTTTGGTGTCTTTGACTGTAAAATGCAATGCAATGCAATGCATAGTAATTAGTTAGTAATTAGTTAGTAGCTGTCATCATTAATATTTACCTATAGATGCAAAGAATAAACACGCGAAGAAATCACGAAGTGGTTCAAGCAGCTCATTCACCTAGGGAAGAAATTTCAAGTAAGTGTCAAGTTAGACATTCTCTGCCCAAAATCAATTGTAAAACTTTTTTGAATGCCAGAACGAGGAAAAATAATCAACAAGTGGCCTAGTATGAACGGTTAACAATATTTTTATTATTCCTCGAGCCCGAATGGGCTCTGAGTCAATAGCCCACGAGGCCGAAGGCCGAATGGGCTATTGACTCAGAGGCCATGAAGGCAAGAGGAATAATTGTTTTAGTAAAATCCAACTAATTAATCAAAAGTATCGAGACAAAACAACTTTAGCTAGTTAAAGCTAGACTTAAAGCCTTTTTTGCTGCCAAAAAGCCGGCGCTTTGCCCTACTAGTGGGCTATAACATATAGCCTAGTAGTAGCTTAACCAATCAGAGCACAGCATTGATAATAGACCACTAGCTGGATTTTAGTAGTGAAGTATATACCTGATGAACAAGATGTTCTCCATTGGAACTCAACACAACTCCAGCCATAAAACAGCCAAGCTCCATTGAGATTCCTAAATGCTCTGACAGCTGGGAAAAAAGTATGACTACAATGATGACAAGATTATTTTGCAAGTGACTTAGGCCGATATGTTCACTTTTTACTGGATAGCTTTTTCATGTCGCCATGAAAAGCTGTCCTGAATTGTATGAATTCCTATCTGATATCAATGTTTGTTTACATTCACGCTCTTTTCTGCTTTGGGCTGATTGGTGGAAATCTGACAGCTCGGTCGACATGGAGCCACAGGAGAACTGGAGGTGGAATTCAAGTTCCAGAGATGTAGCTGCAAGCTCTCCTTCCTTTTCCTGCCCCGCCACCAAAGTGCCCCGGAGAGCTTGCTCGCAGGCTATGTGAACACAGCCTAGCCTAACTGAATGGGCTTGTAGTCTGGGGCTAACATTATTGTCTAGGGAGGGGGGACGGAAGTGACAGTTAGACAACCAGCCTCCGAGACAATATCTCTATACATAGCACCCAATATGATGACATCTATCTTACTTTAGACAAATAAATTAATTATACTGATATTCTCAGTAATGTCATAAGTAGCATCTCTGCTCATCTCTGTAAAACCTTTGCAACTAGTGGAAGGACAAAAATCCATAAAAAAAATCCTACATTCCCCAAAATGGAGAACTTGGACATCCTTCAAATCCAAATTAATAAAAACCTTGTGATTGTTGTGTTGCTAACACTTTCATATTATAAGTTGGTGAAATATTAAGGATCAGGCGGTCCATCTTCCCTTTTTCTTTGAGAGAGAAAAAAGAATGCCTGCTCTCGGGTTAGTGGAATATGATCATTCAGGTGAGTATACTCCTGAATAGGACTTTTGTTGACAGTGACTGACATTTCAACAACTTACGCAGTAGTCATCTTCAAAGTTAAAGAAAGTTGTATCATGTTAGTTGATGGTAAACTCTGGTTATTGACCTGACTGGTTTATTACAGTAAGTCAGGATGTTTTTGGTCATCTTTCAGTTAAGCCATGATATTATGGGTCATTAAGACCTCTAAATGTGATTGGCAGGGCTGCCATTATGGGCTGGGGGCCGGGGATTCCCTCTGGCTTCTATGCATATAACCCCCGGCTACTTTCGTAGGAAAACAGACGAAAAATATAAAAAAGAAATCCTAGCTGCTTAATTCCCTGCCTACTTGTTGTATTTGCAACTTGAAATCTTAGTGACAACCCTGGATTGGTGTGCTTTGATTTGTCTTTTGTCACAGTCATCATTGCTGTTTTAGTTACATGTAGGATTATGTCTTATATTGCCCAACATCAGTTCACTTTTCAAACTTACCATTAATAAAGAAAATGCTGTTGATATTGTTGCTAATGTCAGCAACTCTTTACTGACTGAACCTTGAAGCAATCTGAAGAAAAACAAAAAAACAAAATACTCATTTAACTCGTTTTTGTTTATTTAACAAGATAGAGCAACCAAAACAAAAAAAATCCTAGGGAGGGTTTTCATGATAGGGCTGTTTTCTGTATTTTAAGATCTATGAATTCCATTGCAAATGTTGGAGAAAAATAAGGCAATATAAGTTGATATAGCAACCAGTCAAATTTTTATGTTATTGTTGTTTTTTGCATGTATTTTGAGCCAGGCCCATTCAATGTTACTACTCACATCTGAGCATGATTTGCAAAGTTTTCTTTGTCCTGCACAAATTTCCCATCAACATGATTTTTCAGCATTGACATGGAAAGTGATACAAGGATTGAAGTTGCACAAGAGAGGCTTTAGAGCCGTAGGGTGTGAATTGGTGATGAGATTAAAAATGATTTTAATACTTTGAGCAATTCACATTGTATCTCCTGTACGGGCAGGCTATTCTGTAAGGTAATGTTGCACAAAGACACCATTTGTTCTTAAGTGGCTAAACTCTGGAAGGTTTAATTTAGGAGCAAATATGGATTATGTTGGTTGTTACACTGTGCAATTCTAAATGAGATCTGATCCAAATAGTGGAACTTGTATTCGGGAAGGTATGTTCATGTACCTGAACAGTGGTCTAGTTAGCTTTGAAAACAGAAAGCATACTGCCAACAGCCCAGCAAAGGAAAGTGCGACCTCAAACAGCATCCTCAGGGTACAAATAAACTCAGCTAATAAATAAAGAGCAAGCAATGAGACACAAGATTGGGGCACACTTGTAATAAAAATTATTTCTGATGATCTATCTAAATTATTGGTGTTTGAAGAATAAATTATAGCAGGGCTTAAAAAAAAACTTGAATTCAAGCAAGTCCTTTGAGCCAGCTGCCCTCACAATTTTGCTTACCAGGGGCCACTTCTTGCTTGTCTTAGTTAATCATTTTGTTAGAGGCTGACTTGCTTGAACCCTTGACCATTGGGCTACTGAGGTTTAATAGTTACTTGCCCAACAATGAAATCTACTTGTCCCGGACAACCGAACTGAACTTTTTTGGAGCCCTGTAATAGGGAGAAACAGTTTTGCAATCACGGTTAAAAAACCCAAGTTACCTGAATCACTTTCTCTCTCAAGTCCATTCAGAATATTATGTACCACTCCAGTGTTGCCCTTGGATGGGCCCACGCTTTTTTGACCAGCAATAGCAGGCAGAAGAGCAACTAACAAACCTAAATGGACATCCTGCATGACAAGGATTCCTAACAGGGAACTGGTGTAATCTCCATTGCCATTGGTATGCTCTGGTAACAAACAAAAGCTGCATTTTAATACTAAAGTGGATAATAGAATAAGATTGCAGCCTTTCATAATAGCCCAAGTGGAGGGTGGGGGGGGGGTACTGCCTGTTTGGCATATACAGGAAGGCTCCGCCCAAAGGGGGTAGTGGAGGTCACAGAAGCGAATTTCCGGACAAAAGAAATTCACCAGTTGAAGAAAATGAAAAGGAAGGGAAACATGTTGAGGGGGGCGCTTGAAATAGAGGGGGCTTATTTTAGAGGGGGACTTATCTAATTTGACAAAACGGAGCGCTATACTGCTTTTTCAAACAACCAGAAGATGGTATAAACTCTCCATAAGGAACTATAACACAAAGTGAAAAAGCTAAAACACGTTAATTAATACAGTCTATCCCGATGACCTTGGTGCGATTTCTGTCTGTGACAGAACGAAGCTGTGCCCCACCGATCTCTAAAGTGGAGAGTCACATACAGCTATTTCGAGAAAGGCTGTCAGAAAAAATGTGCACGCCACAATCCCTAAAGGTAATATGTGATATGCTCAATACACTGTTCCTGACACTGTAGCTGTCGAACCTATTTTTGTTGCTTTCCTTTAGCACTCTCAGACATATGTTTATGGCCTCTCCTGCTATTCTTTCAAATTTCTTTGAAAAACAGTAAACTCAAAACCACCCACAATACCTTTCGGGGTTGTCGCGTGCACTTTATCCGACAACCTTTCTCGAAATAGCTGTATCAGATAGGTGTTCATACCCTATCAGATAGCTTATTTGAGAGGGGGTGGGTGGGGGGCTTAATAGAGCATTTACAGTATCTATTCTGGCGAGGTAACCGTCTAAAGAGGGTCAACAAAATGAAGTAAAAACGGCAGGCAGGTGTCCATTTTAGAGGTGTGTTTTTTCTACTGAGGCGCCAGGTAAGAGAGGAGCGACTTTAACTGTTAAGTTTCACACGTTCCCTATCAAAAAAATGGTTTTCATCAAATTATGTGATGTGACTCAAAAGTTGAGATTTTAAGAGCGAGCTGTTGTGGTTTATTTATCAAGTGACGGAGTTTGCTTATTGCATAAAAAAGGTAACACGGAAGATAACACACAGAGGAAAGTACTGCTGTGTAACTTTAATTTCAGTTGACTCCTTCGAAGTTTACTCTGGTCTACTCTGACAATTGACAACAAGAACTTTGCCACAAAGCTCAAGATCTCATTCTTCCTCGCATAATAAAAATAACATCAATATATACGGGGAAAGGATCGTAACTATACAGTACAATAAAAAATTGTGCATTCCGCCTTTTATCGCGTACCTTCACTGAAACGACTCCAAGGGTAAGAGTCAATACAAGAGGAAATTCTGTAAGCACGAACGTTGGAAAGACATGAAGACCTGCAAAAAAGGTTTATTTAATCTTCCAACAACGTCAGTCACAAACCGTTTTACCACTAACTCATTTACAGAGGCTCCAACTAGACCGCGCAGGGATCAATAAAAAGAACGCAACAACACAGCTTCCCTTTTCTCATCGTTCCCCGCGCGCTCTTTCCTTCCCTCTTCCCAGTCTCTGCGTGATTTAGAGCTCACAGTTGCATAAAAGAGACCTCCACCAAGGAGACAACCTATGACCCAAAATAAGGCACAGCTTAATAACATATGCGCCTGCAGTTGACCAGGTCTTTGGTCAGTGGCTCAGATATAGCCTACCAGCAGATTCTCTTGCGTGTGTTCCTCGCGCGATAGCGGCTACGCCGCCAAAATTTTCCCCGAACCTGCACACGTGAGCCTGGGCGCAGGCTTAATACGTAAGATCTATGCAATGGTATCGCTTTCCCCTCTAGCAAGTCCTCTTTTCCGTTGTAATTTGGATGTAGCCAGGAGCAACGCAGATGTCAAGGATTCGAATCTCAATGCCGAATTCCCGAATTTTCTCGACGCCGGACTGCGCAAAAGATGCAGTCTTTCAAATCTTTCGCCTCAGGCACCTCTTGCGAAATATAGTGAAAAAGTTGCCAAGCTTCATACAACTTCTTCCTCATTTCAAAGCTGCTCTTGAGACTGGGTCAGTGTTGTGTTAAGGTAGACTACGGGATTGTTTTGAGGTACGAGTTTTCTAACTCAGTTTCCTCAGCAACCCAATATCAGCCAATAAAAGACGCACTGGCGGTATTCCCAAAACAGTCCCATACTGCATTTCGATGCAGTACCGACCCAGACGCAAACTCATTTGGACACCTATGTTATGAGGACACTTGGTTCTGTCACTTTGGTGTCTGCATTAGCATTTTTGACGGTAAAATGCAATGCAACGCAATGTACAGTAATTAGTTAGTAATTAGTTAGTAGTTGTCATCATTAATATTTACCTATAGATGCAAAGAATAAACACGCAAAGAAATCACGAAGTGGTTCAAGCAGTTCATTCACCTAGAGAACAAATTTCAAGTACGTGTCAAGTTAGCCCAAAATCAACTGTAAACTTTTTTGAATGCCAGAACGAGCAAAAATAATCAACAAGCAGGATAGTATGTACGGTTAACAGTTATTCCTCGAGGCTAAATGGACTCTGAGTCAATAGCCGATGAGGCCGAAGGCCAAATGGGCTATTGACTCAGAGTCCATGAGGGTGAGAGGAATAATTGTTTTAGTAAAATCCAACTAGTTAATCAAAAGTATCGAGACAAAACAACTTTAGCTAGTTAAAGCTAGACTTTAACCCTTTTTTGCCACCAAAAAGCCGGCGCTTTGCCCTAATAGTGGGCTATAACATATAGCCTAGTAGTAGCTCAACTAATCACAATGCAGCATCGATAATAGACCACTAGTTGGATTTTAGTAATAAAGTATATACCTGATGAACAAGATGCTCTCCATTGGAACTCAACACAACTCCAGCCATAAAACAGCCAAGCTCCATAGAGATTCCTAAATGCTCTGACAGCTGGGAAAAAAGTATGATTACAATGATGACAAGATTATTTTGCAAGTGACTTAGGCCAATATGTTCACTTTTTACTGGATAGCTTTTTCATGTCCGCATGAAAAGCTATCCTGCATTGTATGAACTCCTGTCTGATATCAATGTTTGTTTACATTTTGTGCTCGTTTCCGCTTTGGGCTGATTGGTGGAAATCTGACAGCTCAGTCCATGGGGAGCCAAAAGGGAATTGGAGGTGGAATTCAAGTTCCAGAGATGTACTTGCAAGCTCTCCTTCCTTTTCCCGCCCTGCCGCCAGAATGCCCCGGAGAGCTTGCTCACAGGCTATGTGAACACAGCCTAGCCTAACTGAATGGGCTTGTAGTCTGGGGCTAATACTATTGTCTAGGGAGGGGGGATGGAAGTGACAGTTAGACAACCAGCCTCCGAGACAATATCTCCAGGGTTCTCAATAGATTTTTAAATAGGAGGTGATCACTGATAAAGTAGGAGGCTCTTCAGCAAAGCCAGAGGTGTCAAAACAAAGCAAAGAAAAGCGACTTAAACACAAAGTAAGCGGCTAAAAATCCCAAAGTAAGCGGCGATCAATCGCCGGGTGCCGCCTTCTATTGAGAACCCTGATATCTCTATAAATAGCACCTAATATGAAGACGTCTATCTTTCTTTAAACAAATTAATTAATTATTTAGTTGATATTCTCAGTTATGTCATAAGTAGCATCTCTGCTCATCTCTGTAAAACCTTTGCAACTAGTAGAAGGACTAAAATCCATAAAAAAATCCTACGTTCCTCAAAATGGAGAACTTGGACATCCTTCAGATCCAAATTAATGAGAACCTTGTGATTGTTGTGTTGCTAACACTTTCATATTAGAAGTTGGGGAAATATTAAGGATCAGGGGGTCCATCTTCCCTTTTTCTTTGTGAGAGAAAAAAGAATGCCTGATCTCGGGTTAGTGGAATATGATCATCCAGGTGAGTATACTCCTGAATAGGACTTTTGTTGACAGTGACTGACATTTCAACAACCTAGGCAGTAGTCATCTTCAAAGTTAAAGTAAGTTGTATCATGTTAGTTGATGGTAAACTCTGGTTATTGACCTGATTGGTTGATTACAGTAAGTCAGGATGTTTTTGATCATCTTTCAGTTAAGCCATGATATTACGGGTCATTAAGACCTCTAAATGTGATTGGCAGGGCTGTAATTATGGGCAGGGGGCCAGGGATTTCCACCGGCTTCCATGCATATAACCCCCGGCTACTTTCATAGGAAAACAGAAGACAAATATAAAAAAGAAATTCCTAGCTCCTTAATCCCCCGCCTACTTGTTGTATTTACCCGGCAACTTGGAAATCTTAGTGCAAACCCTGGATTGGTGTGTTTTGATTTGTCTTTTGTCACAGTTACCATTGTTGTTTTAGTTACATGTAGGATTATGTCTTATATTGCCCAACATCAGTTCACTTTTCAAACTTACCATTAATAAAGAAAATGCTGTTGATATCGTTGCTAATGTCAGCAACTCTTTACTGACTGAACCTTGAAGCAATCTGAAGAAAAACAAAAAAACAAAATACTCATTTAACTCGTTTTTGTTTACTTAACAAGATAGAACAATCAAAACAAAAAAATCCTAGGGAGAGTTTCCATGTTATGACTGTTTTCTGTATTTTGAGATCTATGAATTCCATCGGAAATGTTGGAGAAAAATAAGGCAACACGAGTTGATAGCAACCAGTCAAATTTTCATGTTACTGTTTTTTTTTTTGCATTTATTTTGAGCCTGGCCCATTCAATGTTACTACTCACATCTGAGCATGATTTGCAAAGTTTTCTTTGTCCCCATAAATTTCCCATCAACATGATTTTTCAGCATTGACATGGAAAGTGATACAAGGATTGAAGTTGCACAAGAGAGGCTTTAGAGCCGTAGGGTGTGAATTGGTCGTGAGATTAAAAATGATTTTAATACTTTGAGCACTTCACATTGTATCTTTTGTAGGGGCAGGCTATTCTGTAAGGTAATGTTGCACAAAGACACCATTAAATTTGTTCTTCAGTGGCTAAACTCCGGAAGGTTTAATTTAGGAGCAAATATGGATTATGCTGGTTGTTACACTGTGCAATTCTAAATGAGATCTGATCCAAATAGTGGAACTCGTATACGGGAAGGTATGTTCATGTACCTGAACAGTGGTCTAGTTAGCTTTGCAAACAGAAAGCATACTGCCAACAGCCCAGCAAAGGAAAGCGCGACCTCAAACAGCATCCTCAGGGTGCAAATAAACTCAGCTAATAAATAAAGAGCAAGCAATGAGACACAAGATTGGGGCGCAGTTGGAAGAAAAATTATTTCCGATGATCTATCTAAATTATTGGTGTTTGAAGAATAAATTATAACAGGGCTTAAAAAAAACTTGAATTCAAGCAAGTCCTTTGAGCAAGCAGCCCTCACAATTTTGCTTGCCAGAGGCCACTTCTTACTTGTCATAGTTAATTATTTTGTTAGAGGCTGACTTGCTTGCATCCTTGACCATTGGGCTAGTGAGGTTTAATAGTTACTTGTCATGCAATGAAATCTACTTGTCCCCAACAACCGAACTGGACTTTTTTCGAGCCCTGTAATAGGGAGAAACAGTTTTGCAATCACTATTAAAAAACCCAAGTTACCTGAATCACTTTCGTTTTCAAGTCCATTTAGAATATTATGTACCACTCCAGTGTTGCCCTTGGATGGGGCCACGCCTTTTCGACCAGCAATAGCAGGCAGAAGAGCAACTAACAAACCTAAATGGACATCCTGCATGACAAGGATTCCCAACAGGGAACTGGTGTAATCTCCATTGCCATTGGTATGCTCTGGTAACAAACAAAAGCTGCATTTTAATACTAAAGTGGCTAATAGAATAGGATTGCAGCCTTTCAAAATAGCCCAAGTGGACGGTGGGGGGGGAGGGGGGGTACTACCTGTTTGGCATATACAGGGAGGCTCCGCTCATAAGGGGTAGTGGAAGTCACAGAAGTGAATTTCAGGACATAAGAATTTCACCAGTTGAAGTATATGAAAGGCAAGGGAAATCTGTCATTTCAGTCTGAATTAAAAAGGACCAAAAAGGGTAAAACTTACATCTTGTACAGGTGAATCAAGTTTAGTGATTTATTCATATTACACAAACCATGCAGTTACACCAGTTAAAAGGGATGCAGTCTTCCAAACTAAGTATGTGAAAGAGGTAAATGGGTTGGACCTTGGGTTGGAGCCTCCCCATAGCAAAATCTTTATTGAGTATCCCATCCTGGGCATAATAGTGTGATTTTGCACAAAAAAAATTTCCTTTCATAGTCATGGCAACTACAAAGGTGAAAGCACTTTTGTGTGCAAGGTTTTAACCTATTGAATAAAAAAAGTTGTTGTTGTTGAATCAATGGAAATCACCTTTTCGCTAGTTCGTCTACTGACTAACAATCAACCTGATCAACAAAATTCCTTACTATCCGAGGAAGCACTACCAACAAATAATTTATTATATTGTACTGTACATATACATATAGTTAAGAAACAAGAAGAATGGTTTTGCTGTTACCTTTAGCATTGTGATCATCATCCTTGCTTTCTACAAACTTTGCAACAAGAGGTGTACTGGAAAGAGAGAGACAGGCTGCAACGAAAGCACTCTGTCTTGGCAGGATTCCAAAACACAAACCCCAGAGAATACCGAATACAATCATCAATGCCATGATCAAGGAACTTCCACCAACTGCAACTTTCCACACCTTTAAAAAGAAAACAAAGAAAAACTACAGTTTCTAAACAACCAGGTCAATACAATTATTCCATGTGGTACATTCATGGGCAGTTTCCTTAGGAAAGAAATTGGTTCCTCAATATTTGAAGGGAAATAACAGAAAAAAGTCATAATATGGCAAAATTAGAATTAAACAACAGGTTTCTGAAACAATAATAGTATGTTGCTCTGAACATAGAGCATGAAAACAGCTGACATTTCTTGATGCCACCACTGGTTTCCCTGTCAAATGATGTCCAAGGAGCGAGTGCAGAAATTTCATAATAATGACATGCCACTAACCAGATCTGGGTAGTGCTTTTGATTGGATGAAGCAAATTTTCAACCAATCAGAAGCACCAACTACACTTTGGCAAGACTTACAAAGGCTATAAGTACTGTGCTCCATCTTATATTTTAGTGAACGATTGTTGAGCTTGATCATTGAAATCAAACAGCTGCAATTTAATTCCTTATGTAGTGAGGTTCATAAATGGATCATGGATCATGGATCATGCATAGACTGCTTAGCACGGTGTGATAAGTCAAATTTGATTTTTGGTTACTTTTGACCTGACTTACATGTACATTGACTCTCAATTTCCTTTGTCTCCTAGCCCTAGGAGACAAAGTTCAACCTGAATTCAACAAAACAAACATCATCTGTTTTTTTCTTTTTGTGGCTTAACAATGTATAGCAATAGAGAAAAATAATGCTTTTGGTAGGGCAACAAGATTTTACCATTTGTTCAGCTAATTCAGCTAATGCTAGAAGAAGATGTAAGTACCTCAAAGTTTTTTTTCAAAGGAGTGCTTCTCTCTCTTTATGTAAGTGTGCATGCAAACTTGGCTAAACTAAATAAGTATTACACACATTACCTTTTTGATTCTGTCTGGTGAGAACTCTAAGCCAACAGCAAAAAGAATAAAGAAGACTCCAAACTCACCAAGAGTCTCCACCTGAACTACTGACTGAGAAGGAAATAATAACAACATGAAAGTAACATCATTAGGCATGTGTGGAATGAGGCCCTAAATAACTCCTGACTTGATATGAAATTCCCCACTCGGATTCACACCCATATTCACAAAAATGGAAGGAGAATTCAGCAATTTATCAGAAATTAGAGCTGTATCTATGGATTTATTCCAGATACCCTTCATTTACTTGTACAAGAATAAAAAGGGAAAAAGGTAGATCATTGCCAAAGAGAGATTTTTCATGTAGAACTTATCTTTGATTCTCCAGAGATTTCACTTTCCACACCACAGAAATGATGTCAGTATGTTTAAAACAAAAGCGAAACCATGAGCTGCAGGGAGTGGTTTCACCACAAAGTTTTGAACACTTTGAAAGAGTGTAAAATGTAGATCAGTGTTTTCTTGGTGACTTTTTACCACTGCAACAAAGAAAAATAATTTGTTGAGTGCTGCACATTTTGGCTGGTGTGGCCACCGCTGCTATTCCTCTAGGAAACAAATAAAAGGGTTGAAATAATGGCCTGCCAATATTAAATGGCCGCTCAAATCCTTGGATGGCCAGACACTTTGTCTGGTTGTTTTACACACTTTTAATGGAAACTTAAGTTCTCATTTTTGGTAAGGTTGGACATTATTGCCATTCGTGAAGGAAAAAGGGGAAAAGAAAAAAACAACCACACAAAAAACATTACTTTACATAATGTATTAAATTTATGAAATGATTGTGCTAGAAGTGTTGACCGGACTCAGATGACTGGACTCAGACTCTCATAGATGATTGTGCAGCCTAAAAAGGGTTGTGTCTAAGCAAATATAGGTTTGACTGGACAAATTGACCAGTGCCAGCCGGAAAATTATTTCAAGCTCAGAATAACAGTAACTCACATACCTTAATCATGTTAGCTCCAGAGGGTCCCAAAAGCATACCGCTGATTACAAATGCAAACATTGTTGGAAGATGGATAAGTGAGCAAACACAAGAACCCACAAAGGACAAGAGCAAAATAAAAATGATATCCTTGATAAAATGAAGATCTTCGTGTGGAACAGTTGCATCCTTTGCTTTTGACAAAACAAACTGATTATTTTGAGAATCCACAAGAATACTCATATCATTTTCTTCACCCGGCTCAGTCAGCGAGGTCTTGTTAGGATTAGAATCATCATCAGGCTCCTCCTCATTTTTCAATCTCACAACAGCTTCAATGGATGCCCCCTTGGCATTTCGTGTTTTCTCAAATGTCTTTTCATCTAATTCATCTTCAAGTTTATCAGCAGCGAATGAAACATCATCTAAGATACCTCCAATAATTTTCTCAATGCGTGTTCTATTGCTCTGAACATCTGCATGTTTACTTGCAGTTATATAGGCCCTTTCTGCTTCAGAAATGGCATTAAATTGATCCTCTTGCTGAAGTGCAAGAACTTTTAAGGCATCCAGACGTTGCTTTATAGCTTCTTTCATGTGCACAACCGATTTATAGTCCTCTTGAAGCAGCCTTCTTAAACCGTTAAGAGAATCAAAAACCACACGCTCAGTCACGTTTAGCTCATTCCTGAAAGTAGTAATCGTCTGTATCTGATCGCTCGTAAGTTTCGCCGGCTTGTTTTTCGAATTTGAACTTAGTAAATTTGACAACTTGTTAACTACACGCTCCTTCATCTTGAAAAGATGACTTACAGACTGGCAAGTCATTTGATTCCAACGAGTCAGATCATCTTTAGAAACAGCAGCAAAATTTCCCTTTCCAGGATTACCCCTGCTTGTTTTTAAGGACAACATTCCAACGAGTAGGAAAAACGTCCCCAGCTGATCACAGACCAAATGCATTATAATGGGGTGATTTTTAGGTAATTCACGTTTAGTGCTCTTGGCGACGAACGAAGACGATGTAGATGACGCGAAAGGGACAAGAACTGAAGTGTTAAAAACATTCTTTCTTTAAAACTCACGTAACTAAGGTACGTACTCTCCAGAAAAATTGCTGACTCCAGACTGCCATGTTGTCTTTTCCCAGAGTTCAATACGGGGATACATTGTCGCAAAGGTTTCTGGGATCTGTTGAGTTCGAATTTTGGCGCGCCTGGGGAAAAGTTTGTTTTTGCGAACAGATCGATCGAGTTTATTTAAAAAAGATTGTTATCAAATCACACCTCTGTTCAGGGGTCGTTTGCCTTAACTCTTTTGAGATAATCATGACAAATGATTCTTCAAACCTAACTACAGCTGATGAAGCCATAACGTTTCTGGTGAACCAAGGTATTTATGACTTCTGTGGATTTCAACACTACACACGATGTCGACGTCACTATCCGTTCCTCGCCATTGGCCTCTTATTGAGAACAACATCTGATTTTTAGACTTTTGCTAATATAGATCTAACAGCTCCCAAAGTTCGAATAAAGGTCGAGACTGCTCTTGCTGTTGAGAAGATCGAAAGTGTAGCTTTCAGTGATGGACTTCAACCCGAACAACTGCTGAATTTGGTCAAGCTAGGAACCAGTGGAAAATATGGTGAGTCAAAATGTCAGATGACCTCAGATGTCGGTCGAGATGTTGCACTAATGTTACTTATTACTCATGTTACTTTCAATTTCAATTCACTTTCGTTACTCCTCTGTAGTAACCTATTAAAATGACCCCCCTGCTCCCTTATCTGAAAATGACCCCCCAAAACCAATCTAGATTTTGAAAATGACCCCCAGCAAAATGGCCAGCCCCCCATCACAGGTAATATACGACCAGCCCCTAAGAGAAATCTATAACTCTCCCGTACTATCTACTGAACTGTGCTTCTCTGAAATAATTTTTTAGGTGATGGTATCTCCTCGCGGATTATCAAGTGCCTCATTCCTCAGGGGGCAGTTCCTTCATTAGCTGTTGTGATAGCTGTGTCCAGGATTTGCACCAACAAACTGTCCATGAACGTCAAGGTATAGTTTTCGTAGTTTGCCCATAAGTTGACTCCATCGGCAAGTATTGTCAAATTTTATGTGACTTATTTTATGTTAGTTTATATATTGTTATTGCAGTAATCTAATGTTTCTGTTAGTCATTTTTATATTTTATTTTAGAGGAAATCCCGGAAAACCACTTTTAAATATGGAGGCCTCCTCTTAAAATATGTTTATTTTTGTTATTTGTAGTAGAAGTAGTAGGCAGGTTATGTTTCTTTCAATTAAAAATAGGTGTCACGTTGACTGTGTGTACCACAGAAGGTCTTAAATCAGTAATCTTGACCCTATTTAAAGTTAAAAAAAGGTTTCAATTAAACATTGGTTATCTTTTTGCGGTCCAAAACAAAATATCCAGTAACCCAAAAAAAGGAGTGAACAGAGCAATGCCTTTATTCCTTTTCAGTTTTGTAATATGGTATATTCATTTTGTTAACCTTTTTTAGGCTCTGTTGGTTCGGTGGACATTAATCATTTTCAACCTTATTGATGACTTGAGAGATGTTCATTCCTTATATGGGATCCTTTTCCTCTTCTTGGAAAGTGATTTACTGGTGAGTTTATTTCCATTGCAGGGCCACTAGTTTATCAGTTTTTCTTGTAACTCTTAAGTGTCCCTTCTCAAAATAAAGTCTCCATGCAGTTATATTTTTCCCCCTACTATTTTTCTCACTAATTAGTCAGTGTGACTTGAGGCATGGTTTTGTTGGCATGGCAACTTATGTCCTGGAGGAGTTGACTTGCCAGCCATGAGCCTATTGAGGGCATAACTCTATTCTGTGCCAAAAGAAAAAGCCCCCAGGCATCCCAGACGCTTAACCAGTAATAATAATAATTTTGAACCAGGAGATGCTCCCACCAGGGACCCTGGTGGAAGGGTGATTTTTAGAGAGGTACTGAAAATAGAAAAGATTAAAAGATAAAAGGAAGATTTAGTGTAAAACGATAAAAAGCCACATAAAATTTCCTGCTCTAAAAACCTTTCACGAAAACCTTTCACGAAACCTACTTGTGCGAATCCACAGAGTTAATATTTTGGTGACTGAAGAACATATCGAGAAATTTGCATATTTTAGCAGTCTCACACTGATTCTGTCCGAACTACCCCAAGTGATGCAGATGTTACATATTTCTTCTTATGCTTGTCATTATGTGTGCATTGTACATATAAACCAGCTGGGATCAATTCATTGTAGTTAAATCCCAGTCTTTCAAACTACCTCCCAGGGAAAGAAAGTTTGTTTGGTTTGTAGGGAGATTTAAAAAAATTGTAGGTTTAAAAGTGCTAGGAAAGGGAAGTCGTTTTGGTTCCAGTTTTCAGGGGATTCAGGAAAACAATGCAAATGTATGAGAAATCAGACCATGTGTGAAAATGACATTTACTTTTAAAACTTTCCCAAAGTTAATTATTGATTTTGTTTGCTTGCTTTTAGTGCCCACATATTTGCCATCTACTCTACTACCTGACACGAAAGGGGGATGGTATGAATTATTTGAAACTCTTTGCAAAGATTAATACATTAGCATTTTTGGAGAATCTTTATGTTTTCTATGCCATTTTGTAAGTTACACAGTTCTAATTTGCTTTTTAATTTTTGTTAGTGCGACCATTCAGGATCAGAAAGCTTTTGGATCTACAAAATCGTTTGGTGAGTTTTGCCTCAGGCTCATCATAGATTCTGTCTTATTATGAGGCTTCCTTCCTGGTTTTGTCGTGGATTATACATGTAAATTAACTAATGATAATAAGGAAATTATTGTATAGGACAACCCTCCAAGCTGCGACCACTTTAGGTGCCATGGCGACTAAAATTTTGGTTCTGGCGACTTGATTCAGAAAATAGTCGCCAAGTTTACGACCAGAGAAAACTGATACTTATAGAAACGACATGGATGTTACTCGACATGGATTATAAGCTACCGTGTACACTTGTGAAAACAGTAAATGCCGTTTAGAAACATTGTTTTGGCTGAATAATACCCTTCTTAAGCCCAAATTAATTCTTAACCAATTATTAAAACTTTAATTATTGATATATATTTTGGCGCCTAAAAAAATCCTTTGGCGACTGAACCTAAAGAGTTGGTCGCCAAATGGCCACCAAAGGGAAAATTTAATTTGGAGGGTTGTAGGACTGGTTTTGCTAAATAAACTATTATCCCTTGTAAAACTGTGTTAACTAATACCATCTACTGACGTGATACAACTCACTTCGACTCTGAAGATGATCTAACCCCACAGGTTGTCAAAACGTCAGTCACTGTCAACAACAGTCCTATTGAGGACTTCCTACACCCAGGTGATCATACTCAACCTATTTATATATCCCTTGTATTTATTTTCATTTTTCAGGGGATCAAACCTTACCTGGCTGGCTTACTCTCTGTGTACAAAATACACTGTCCAAACCTTGTTACCATTGCTATGCCAGCCTCAAATAAGGTACTGTCAGTCCACCCACTTACTTTAGACACCATCATGAAAGAGCTCAGTGTCCCCACTGTTCACGTCACGGGCGTGTTACAGGGGCCGGTGTTAGTATTACTCTTAATATGTAGATTTAAGTAAAGAGTATGGAAAGTTTAGAACCAAGAGAGCTGTCTGTAAATTAATTCAAAGGTATTTTTACGGACTACTATGGATGTGTTTGACTTTGTGCAGGGTTTAAATATGGAGTGGACAAGCCCCTGTAACCCTATCGCTGAGTTAGTGTTATTCAGTGAGATTACAGGTGTTGACTTGATTCAGGTTTTGTTAACTTCTGGGTCAATAAAGAGATGTTTATTAAATATTTATCAAATATACTTATTTATTTATTATCAAATTTATCTGCTTATTAATTAGTTGAGCAATGATTTCTTTCACTTGTTTGCTTGATTTGTTACATCAAAGTAAATTGTAGAGACTGTTAACCTATTCTGTAGTGAGTTATATATAATCAGAATCAGTCTCAGAGCATGTTTGAACAGGATTTGTCACACTAAGTGGAGGGAACTTAAATTGGTCAACACTATTACAACTTTGGTTGGATTTTTTTTTGCCAACCAAGTTTTTTTTAACCTTTTTGCTTTCACAGAAATTGTGGTTCAAGCAATCAGATTCATCTTGGAAAGAAGCAGTAAAGAAAGTTCAGGTACATGTAATTGATGCATTTGTGGAAATCAGATGATGGATGGATAAAAGAGGATTGAAAAAGGAGGGAGCAGAAAACTGAGATGATCTCTCTTCTTCCTCTGTCACTGAATTAACGTTTGTGGGGACAGTGTAAAATTTGTGCACCAGGAGCATCTAATTTTAAGTGAATTTCTTTATAAAGTAAAACAAAACTTCCAGAGAAAAGTTGCGCAACAGTCTCCTTGTTAACCCTCTCCCCCAAAATAGGTAGCTACATTCTTGGTAGAGCACTAGCCTAGCTTAGTCTGGAAGAGGTAGTCTGTGTGGCTAGTTTTCAAAAGGTTTAGGGAGGGAAGTTAATCAGGCATCTCGGAATGAAGCAGTTAAGAAAGTTCAGGAATACTAGGGGTCCCTTCCCTCTCTTGTTTTTAAGCACCTAACAAGGTTCCCCAGGTATAGCATTAACCAGTGTTCATTTAGGCATTAGAGATTGGAGAATTGTACACTTACCCTGCAGAGTTCTCCAGCTAATGGTCTATAGCCTATGAACATTTTTTACTCGCACGTGGAGCCTGTTTAAAAATATTCTCCTGCAGCGTTACACCTTTCTCTTGCTACTAGAATTCTTAATGAAAACCCTGATTTAACACTTTGTCAGTAAATCAATGAAGACCTTGTCTCAGTTCACATGATCCTCTTCCGGTCATTTTGTTTGAACGCTATTTACTATGCCCATTTTTTTTTCCAGAGCAAATATAATCATCAAACTTCATTGGATAGCTACTTCCTTAGAGCTGAAAAACCAGACAAAGCTCCGGTAAGAAATTATGTTCCTGAGCAAGTAACAGGTGTACAGCTCTTAACATTGTCTGTTCTTTTATTCTTATACTGTCAATAATTATTTTTTAAGATAGAATTATTCATAATTTAATACTTTGTCATAAGTTTCCTCCGACAAGAATAAGTACTAAATCCTTCCTTCTATCCGTTTATTTACCTATTCATTCAGTTACCGCATGTGTTTTTTTCCATATCTGTTACTGGTCAAAATTAGATTCAGGCTAAAATTTTTTAACCGAGGTTGATTCTCTATCTCCTTTGTCTCCTAGCCCTGAATATTCATGAATTAGGATGAGGAGACAACTGAGGAAACTGACAATCAACCTAGGTTGACAAATTTTTACCTGAAATAAAATTTTATCCTGTAACATATCCATCACACATCCATTCTTAAGAGGAGTACTGAAAGTTTTTCTGCGCAGCTGACCTTGAAAGTATGTATTGCAAAAGATCTCCAGTTGTGTTCACAAACGTATATACAATATCTGCAAACTATTAAACCATGATTTTTGGTATTGTAAAAATTTAGGGGTTGATTTAGTATAAAGTTTAAAAGGTCACAATGTAAAATGTACAATTTACTAGTAGTTAAGAGCAGAGTTTAAAAGATCACAATTTACCCTCATTTCTTTAATTGGTCCCGCTTTCTCTTAAATAATGTCACGAGCGCCGTTCTACACATGACGTAAAATTTATGAAAAGGCATCTGTTTGCTTCAGTCCAAAAATTCCCCGCACTAACGTCCACTGCCTTACCCCCTCCCCCCTAAACGTCCAGTTGACGTTAAGCGGAGGAAAAGTGCATACTGTAATGTTCCGAAAGTAACGGCCCCTCGAAAGTAGCAAAGCTCCGAAAGTAGCGATAAAATGTCACAGGTGTTAGCAAATCTCGAAAGTAGGATCCTCCCGAAAATAACGACCCTCCGAAAGTAGAGACCTCAAATCCTGAACGAATTAAATGCCACACTGATCCGAGGTTTATCAATATAAATGATTATGTCACATTCGTATTCATAACCCTAAAGGTACAGGATAAACATTACCTTTTTTCAAAAAAGTATTCCTTTCACATTTTTTGCGAATTTATTTTTTGAAGTGCCCATGTGGAGTACACGTTTTAGCCAGCCGAAAGTAACGAGCCTCCGAAAGTAGCGAAAGCACAAGGGTGCTAAATCCGAAAGTAACGAGGGTCGTTACTTCCGGAACTTCACGGTATGTTAACGGCTCCTAATTGTAGGGAGTTATGGGCTGCTGCTGTAGTAACTACCCTTTGTGAGTGACGCTGTTGTACTTGCAGGCAGCCAAGAGAAGGAAGCTGAGAAGTAGCAGCATTCCCGTAGTACAAACCACCTCCATATCTGAAAAGAAAATCTCCGTTGAACAGCTTTCTTCTTTTAACGATCTTCTAGGAAATATCGACAGCATTGAGGTGCATCTTACTCCTTGATATGACCATATTTTAGAAGAGGACTGGTTTTGAAAAGCTGGTTTTATTCTTTTTCGACCCGACTGAATTAGATATGTTTCTCCACGGTTTTTCGCAGTTTCCAAGTCAAGTCGCCTGTGTCCTGAATTCGCCGTTTTTACAGCATGTCCTTACCTTTAACCCAGATTTTGTGATGCTTCAAAGACTGAACTTTTGGCTCAATCATTCTCTATATGAAGGTAATCACTCTTCACTCAAATTTGTTATGTGCCCGGCAAAACAAAAAGCTGAGGTTGCTCACTTAGACAGTCTCGTCAATTTGGGATAGGTGTGTGTCTCGAAGTTTCTTAAAGCCTGAATCGAGGTGGACTTAGTATGAATTCATTCTGAGGTCATTAAACATTCTCCTTGGTGTGGATGCTTTTCCGTGGTCAATATCTTCTTTTCTTGGTTTACGTATTGGCTGATCAAACCTGAACAAAATGCTTTAGCCGCATCTACCAAAAATCAGAAAAAGGCCGATCGGTCAGGTCATGCATTTGGAAAACAAAAAGGGGTTTTTCCTGATCTTGAGAGTTTTCGCTAAAAACCTAGCCTGTATAGCTGTCTGTTTTGTTGTGAGAAGCGCCCAACGTCGCTTCGTCGCTCATCTTGCGTGCTCACCAACAAAGCCGCCAGGCTACGCAGGCTACTAAAGCCGATCACAGACTATTTAACAATTATTCCACGAGTGCGCGTTGGATATGAGATGGTATATAGTGCGTAGCGCCGAATTGGCTATAATCATCTTATATCAGCCAAGCGCGAGTGGAATAATTGTTTTGTTAAAAACGTTAAAGGTCGAGACTGCTCTTGCTGTTGAGAAGATCGAAAGTGTAGCTTTCAGTGATGGACTTCAACCCGAACAACTGCTGAATTTGGTCAAGCTAGGAACCAGTGGAAAATATGGTGAGTCAAAATGTCAGGTGACCTCAGGACCCAGTTGTTAGAAGGTCTATTAGCGCTTAACCCACGGTTAAATTTAACCCTGCTCTCTTTTTCTTGTGTTCAAAAGCATTTTCTTGGATAATTTTCTCTGTTATTTTTAGAGCTTCCAATCATCAACTTGTAGACGAAAACAATTAAACTGAATTTACTTTTTAAGCTTTCAAATCTGAATTCAAATTTCGCACTAATCCCAGGTTATCTTAACCCAGCTTTGAACAACCCGGCCCAGATGTCAGTCGAGATGTTGCACTAATGTTACTAATTACTCACGTTAGAGTGGTTTTCACTTGACTGTCGTAAAACCAAAACCAAAGTAAATACACTAGCCAACCAAAGGACGTCGTAAAACCAAAACCAAAACCAAAACCAATCCCAATTCGACAGTCAAGTGAAAACCGCTCTACTTTCAATTTCAATTCACTTTCGTTACTCCTCTGTAGTAACTTGTTAAAATGACCCCCCTGCTCCCTTTATCTGAAAATGACCCCCCAAACCAATCTAGATTTTGAAAATGACCCCCAGCAAAATGGCCAGCCCCCATCACAGGTAATATATGACCAGCCCCTAAGAGAAATCTATAACTCTCCCGTACTATCTACTGAACTGTGCTTCTCTGAAATAATTTTTCAGGTGACGGTATCTCCTCGCGGATTGTCAAGTGCCTCATTCCTCAGGGGGCAGTTCCTTCATTAGCTGTTGTGATAGCTGTGTCCAGGATTTGTACCAACAAACTGTCCATGAACGTCAAGGTATAGTTTTGGTAGTTTGCCCATAAGTTGACTCTATAGGCAGGTATTGTCAAATTTTATGTGACTTCTTTTATGTTAGTTTTTATATTGTTATTGCAGTAATCTAATGTTTCTGTTAGTCATTTTTATATTTTATTTTAGAGGAACCCCCTGAAAACCACTTTAAAAAAGAGGCCTGCTCTTAAAATATGTTTATTTTTATTATTTGTAGTAGAAGTAGTAGGCAGGTTATGTTTCTTTCAATTAAAGATAGGTGTCACGGTGACCGTGTGTGCTACAGCAACTGAAGGTCTTAAATCAGTTAATCTTGACCCTATTTAAATGTCTAAAAAAGTTTCAATTAAACATTGGTTATCTTTTTGAGGTCCAAAACAATATATCCAGTAACCCAAAAAAGGGGTGAATGGCACAACACCTTTATTCCTTTTCAGTTTTGTAATATGGTATATTCATTTTGTTAACCTTTTTTAGGCTCTGTTGGTTCGGTGGATGTTAATCATTTTCAGCCTTATTGATGACTTGAGAGATGTTCATTCCTTATATGGGATCCTTTTCCTCTTCTTGGAAAGTGATTTACTGGTAGGTTTATTTCCCTTGCAGGGCCACTAGTTTTTCAATTTTTCTTGTAACTCTTAAGTGTCCCTTCTCAAAATAAAGTCTCCATGCATTTTTATTTTTTTCCCCTATTATTTTTCTCACTGGTTAGTCATTGTGACTTGAGGCATGGTTCTGTTGGCATGGCAACTCATTGCCTGGAGGAGTCAACTTGCCAGCCATGGGGGCATAACTCTATTCTGTGCCAAAAGAAAAAGCCCCCAGGCATCCCAGACACTTAACCAGTGATAATAATAATTTTTAACCAGGAGACTCTCCCACCAGGGGGATTTTTAGAGAGGTCCTGAATATAGAAAAGATTAAAAGATAAAAAGAAGACTTAGCTTAAAACGATAAAAAGCCACTGACAAAAAATTTCCTGCTCTAAAAACCTTTCAGGAAACCTACTTGCAGGAATCCATAGAGTTAGTATTTTGGTGACTGAAGAACATATTGAGAAATTTCCATATTTTAGCAGTCTTACACTGATTCTGTCTGAACCACCCCAAGTGATGCAGATGTTACATATTGCTTCTTAATATGCTTGTCATTATGTGTGCATTGTATGTATAAACCAGCTGGGATTGATTCATTGTAGTTAAATCCCAGTTTTTCAAACTACTTCCCAGGGAAAGAAAGTTTGTTTCGGTTGTAGGGAGGTTAAAAAAAATGTAGGTTTAAAAATGCTTATATGCCCAGGAAAGGGAAGTTGTCTTGGTTCCCATTTTCAGGGGATTCAGGAAAACAATGCAAATGTACGAGAAATCAGACTGTGTGTGAAAAAGGCTTGTAGTTTTAAATTTTCCCAAAATTAATTATTGATTTTGTTTGCTTTTAGTTCCCACATATTTGCCATCTACTCTACTACCTGACAAGAAAGGAGGATGGTATGATTTATTTGAAACTCTTTGCAAAGATTAATACATAAGCATTTTTGGAGAATCTTGATGTTTTCTATGCCATTTTGTAAGTTACACAGTTCTAATTTGCTTTTTAATAAAAATTTTTGTTAGTGCGACCATTCAGGATCAGAAAGCTTTTGGATCTGCAAAATCGTTTGGTGAGTTTTGCCTCAGGCTTATCATAGATTCTGGCTTATTATGGGGCTTCCTCTGTTCCTTCCTGGTTTTGATCATGGATTATACATGTAACCTGTAAATTAACTAATGATAATAAGGAAATTATTGTATAGGACAACCCTCCAAGCTGCAACCACTTTAGGCGCCATGGCGACTAAAATTTTGGTTCTGGCGACTTGATTCGGAAAATAGTCGCCAAGTTGACAACCAGAGAAAACTGATACTTATAGAAACGACATGGATGTTACTCGACATGGATTATAAGTTACCGTGTACACTTGTGAAAACAATAAATGCCTTTTAGAAACATTGTTTTGGCTGAATAATACCCTTCTTAAGCCCAAATTAATTCTTAACCAATTATTAAAACTTTAATTATTGATATATATTTTGGTGCCTAAAAATATGGCGACTGAACCTAAAGAGTAGGTCGCCAAATGGCCACCAAATGGAAAATTTAATTTGGAGGGTTGCAGTACTGGTTTTGCTTTAAACTATTATTCCTTGTAAAACTGTGTTTACTAATACCATCTACTAACGTGATACAACTCACTTCGACTCTGAAGATGACTTAACCCCACAGGTTGTCGAAACGTCAGTCACTGTCAACAACAGTCCTATTCAGGACTACCTTGACCCAGATGATCATACTCAACCTATTTATATATCCCTTGCATTTATTTTCATTTTTCAGGGGATCAAACCTTACTTGGCTGGCTTACTCTCTGTGTACAAAATACACTGTCCAAACCTTGTTACCATTGCTATGCCAGCCTCAAATAAGGTACTGTCAGTCCACCCACTTTATACTTTAGACACCATCATGAAAGAGCTCAGTGTCCCCCTGTCCACGTCACAGGCGTGTTACACAGTGTTCTCCTTGTCAGGCGGTAACCGGTAAAATTTACCGCTTGAAGCAACACTTCTTACCGTCTGCAACGTCTTGAAGTGTAAATTGTTGCAAAAAATATGCAAGTTGTGATCCAAGCCGATCCCCACAAGAAAAGGAAATGAATACGGAAAAACACAGCTATTTTCCATAATTACTTTATTTAAATGCTGACTGGCACCTTTCAAAGAACTGCAAGCTAACGATTTTTTCGTGGGCTTCTGTTCCAATTCTAAGCTTTTTCGACCAGCAGGAAAAGTTCACGACTTCTGCGACTTTTGTTACTAAATTGACCCTAGCGGCAAAGGCAGCCTTCATTCGTAAAAGTGTTTGTTTTGAGGTGTTTAAAATACTTTTCGGCCAATTGGTTGACAGGATGCTGGAAAATAAAAGCCTTCATGAACGCGAAGCCCCTCCCCTGGCAGGAGAGTGCGCCTCTGGCACATATTTTTGGTCTTACCGGTGAAGAATGGTCCCTTACCTGCTAAGCTAAAATTAAGGGAGAACACTGGTTACAGGGGTATTAGTATTACTATTAATATGTAGATTTAAGTTAGGAGTATGGAAAGTTTAGAACCAAGAGAGCTTTCTGTAAATTAATTCAAAGGTATTTTTACTGACTACTATGGATGTGTTTGTGCAGGGTTTAAATATGAAGTGGACAAGCCCCTGTAACCGTATCCCTAAGTTAGTGTTATTCAGTGAGGTTACAGATGTTGATTTGATTTAGGTTTTGTTGACTTCTGGGTCAATAAAGAGATGTTTATTAAATATTTATCAAGTATACTTATTTATTTATTATCAAATTTATCTGCTAGTTAATTAGTTAAGCAATGATTTCTTCCACTTGTTTGCTTGATTTGTTACATCAAAGTAAATTCTAGAGACTGTTAACCTATTCAGTAGTGAGTTATATATAATCAGAATCAGTCTCAGAGCATGTTTGAACAGGATTTGGAACTTAAATTGGTCAACACTATTACAACTTTGGTTGGATTTTTTTTTTGCCAACCAAGTTTTTTTTAACCCTTTTGCTTTCACAGAAATTGTGGTTCAAGCAATCAGATTCATCTTGGAAAGAAGCAGTAAAGAAAGTTCAGGTACATGTAATTGATGCATTTGTGGAATTCAGAGGGTGGATGGATAAAAGAAGATTGAAAAAGGAGGGAGCAGAAAACTGAGATGATCTCTCTTCTTCCTCTGTCACTGAATTAACGTTTGTGGGGACAGTGTAAAATTTGTGCACCAGGAGCATCTAATTTTAAGTGATTTCTTTATAAAGTAAAACAAAACTTCCAGACAATAGTTGCACAATAGTCTCCTAGTTAACCCTCTCCCCCAAAATAGGTAGCTACATTCTTGGTAGAGCACTAGCCTAGCTTAGTCTGGAAGAGGTAGTCTGTGTGGCTAGTTTTCAAAAGGGTTAGGGAGGGAAGTTAATCAGGCATCTCGGAATGAAGCAGTAAAGAAAGTTCAGGAATACTAGGGGTACTTTCCCTCTCTTGTTTTTAAGCACCTAACAAGGTTCCCCAGGTATAGCATCAACCAGTGTTCATTTAGGCATTAGAGATCGGAGAATTGTCCGCTTACCCCGCAGAATTCTCCGGCTAATGGTCAATAGCCTATGACCATTTTTCACTCAGACGTGGAGCCTCTTTAAAAATATTCTCCTGCAACGTTACACCTTTCTCTTGCCACTAGAATTCTAATGAAAACCCTAATTTAACACTTTGTCAGTGAATCAATGAAGACCTTGTCTAAGTTCACATGATCCTCTTCCGGTCATTATGTTTCAACACTATTGACTATGCTTATTTTTTTTCCAGAGCAAATATAATCATCAAACTTCATTGGATAGCTACTTCCTTAGAGCTGAAAAACCACACAAAGCTCCGGTAAGAAAATAGTTTCTGAGCAGGTAATTAGCTCCTAACATTGCTAGTTCATATTCTTATACTGTTGGTGATTATTTTTTTAAGATATACTGTTATTCATAATTTATTACTTTGTTATACGTTTTCCCCGACAAGAATAAGTACTAAATCCTTCCTTCTATCCGTTTATTTACTTATTCATTCAGTGACCGCATGCGCTCTTGTCCACATCTGTTACGGGTCAAAATTGAATTCAGGTTCAAATTTTTCAACCTAGGATGATTCTCTATTTTCCTTTGTCTCCTAGCCCTGATTATTCATGAATTAGGGTGAGGAGGCAAAGAAAAGTGAGAATCAATCTAGGTTGAAAAATTTTACTGATCCGAAATAAAATTTTAACCTGTAACATAGCTATCACTCAACAATTCTTAAGAGGAGTGCGTACTATACAGTACTGAAAGTGTTTTTCGCCCAGCTGACATTGAAAGTATGTATTGAAAAAGATCTCCAGTTGAGTTCACAAACGTATATGCAATATCAGAAAACTAACCATAATTTTTGGTGTTGTAAAATTAAGGGGGTGATTTAGGATAAAGTTTAAAAGGTCACAATGTAAAATGTACAATTTGCTAGTAGTTAAGAGCAGAGTTTAAAACATCACAATTTACCCTCATTTCTTTAATTGGTCCCGCTTTCTCTTAAATAATGTCACGAGCTCCGTTCTACACATGACGTAAACTTTATGAAAAGGCATCAGTTTGCTTCAGTCCAAAAATTCCCCAGACTAACGTCCACTGCCCTACCCCCTCCCCCCTAAACGTCCAGTTGACGTTAAGCGGGGGAAAAGTGAATACCGGTATGCTGACGGCTCCTAATAGTAGCGAGTTATGGGCTGCTGTAGTAACTACCCTTTGTGAGTGACGCTGTTATACTTGCAGGTAGCCAAGAGAAGAAAGCTGAGAAGTAGCAGCATTCCTGTAGTACAAACCACCTTCATATCTGAAAAGAAAACCTCTGTTGAACAGCTTTCTTCTTTTAACGATCTTCTAGGAAATATTGACAGCATTGAGGTGCGTCTTACTCCTTGATATGACCATATTTTAGAAGAGGACTGGTTTTGAAAAGCTGGTCTTATTCTTTTTCGACTCGACTGAATTAGATATGTTTCTCCACGGTTTTTCCACAGTTTCCAAGTCAAGTCGCCTGTGTCCTGAATTCGCCGTTTCTACAGCATGTGCTTACCTCTAACCCAGATTTTGTGATGCTTCAAAGACTGAACTTTTGGCTCAATCATTCTCTATATGAAGGTAATCAGTCTTTCACTCAAATTTGTTATGTGCCCGGCAAAACAAAGAGCTGAGGTTGCTCACTTAGACAGTCTCGTCAATTTGGGATAGGTGTGTGTCTCGAAGTTTCTTAAAGCCTCAATCAAGGTGGACTTAGTATGAATTCATTCTGCAGTTATTAAACAGTCTCCTTGCTGTGGATGCTTTTCCGTGGTCAATATCTTCTTTTCTTGGTTTACGTATTGGCTGATCAAACCTGAATAAAATGCTTTAGCCGCATCTACCAAAAATCAGAAAAAGGCCGATCGGTCAGGTCATGCATTTGGAAAACGAAAAGGGGTTTTTCCTGATCTTGAGAGTTTTCGCTAAAAACCTAGCCTGTATAGCTGTCTGTTTTGTTGTGAGAAGCGCCCAACGCCGCTTCGTCGCTCATCTTGCGTGCTCACCAACAAAACCGCCAGGCTACGCAGGCTACTAAAGCCGAACACAGACTATTTAACAATTATTCCACGAGTGCGCGTTGGATATGAGATGGTATATAGTGCGTAGCGCCGAATTGGCTATAATCATCTTATATCAGCCAAGCGCGAGTGGAATAATTGTTTTGTTAAAAACGCCCGCAAAATATCGAGAATTCTTCCCGACTCTATTTGTAAAAACAACCAATTCAGCTTGTTTTTAATTTTGATCAGACGCGTACAGTTACCCTATTTGGAGGGCATGGTATAATGGCTCATATACCATGATGGCTATTCCAATCAGAGCTCTAGAATTGCATTATCCAGTAATTCAGTTTTTAATAATTAGGAATAGACTGGTCTAGTTGGACAGTCCTGAATTGAGTGGAATTCGGTTTACAACTGGACTGGCCGGCTGCAAATTCTGACTTATGATACGTTCGTCTAGTGTTAAGACAGTATCCGAGCCTGCTGCTCGTCGGAACGTTCTAATTTGCCGTGGGTTTTTATTTATGTACCAGACTTTCTGAGTGGACCGTCATCTGAGTCAGTGGATCCAAACAGCCTATTGTTGTTGCAAAAGTTGAAGCAGTTTACTTGTTTCCTTCAGGTAAGTTATTTTGGAGTGAACTGTTCGCGCCCCTCTCTTAATGCGTATTGCCGTTTCCAAAAAGAAAGGGACTATTTTGCAGTCTAACCAAAGGGAGGAATGAGTGCTTTCTTAAAAAGCGTATAGCCTGTGTCTTTCAGGGATATTACGGACTTAACGATCCGACAACGTGACGACAGCGAAAACGTCGCTTCAAATTTGAATTTTCGTTGTTTCGGTCTTTAGTACGATTACTCCAACTCACTTACTTTGTCAAATGTAGGCAAACCCTCCCGGAGGTGAATTTCTGAGAACCATATTCAGATTTAGAAAGAGGATAAAATTTCGTCGTCGCTTGTTTACGTCCTCCCTAAACAGTAAAATTAGGCAATTTCACGTCGTAGTGGCGCAAAAACAGCAAAGAAATGTACAAAAACGTGAGATGCACCTGCAAAGTTGTTGTTTTGCCTACTAAACCTATTGTTGTTTTTGACGTTCTCGTTGCCGTCGTGTAGTCGGATCGTGAAATCACTCGCGCCGAGCAACACGCGAAAGAAGCCCCTCGTGTCTCAGCCGCTCGAGACACGAGGGGCTTCTTTCGCGTGTTGCTCGGCGCGAGTGATTTGCCACTCGAATTAGAGTTCAGGTACATCTGTACTTACGAATTTTATATGCGCTGAATGTATCCCCAAACAGACACTACGCAAAGCGACTGTGTTTTCCAGCACTAGAGTTTTTCCTGCCTAGCGCGTAGCAGGCCCCGGTTTTAAAGGCAAAGGGAGATTTTCGACTACGTGCGAGCGCGCGAGGGCAGAAACTGAAGGAGAGGAGGCCCTTCTCCCCTTCGCGTGTTTCACTCTCGCGCTCTATAAAACCTAACCAAATAATCTAACCTGTGCCTACCATGCGGGCTATAGAGTTTTGACATGGTTGCCACAGGTCAGGAAATGGTTACGAAAAAAATTTCTTCAAGCCAAGGTCAGGGAATTAAGGGAGTCCGAGAAAATTTAAGTATTTGAAAGAAGTTAGGGAAAAGTGAAATTTTAAGAGTACATATTTATTATTTTCCCTCTACTTTTATTGTTTTCTAACATTTAAAATTCTTTTGTACATTTTACGGGCAAGAGTCATGTTGTGTTGATAGAAAATTGTTCGTGAAATTGAACGTTGTGCTGATGCTGGGTTTTCAAGAAAATCAATCCCATTTGCACGATATCTTAAGGAACTATCGATTCATGTACACTGCACCTGACTTGCTGAAAGCATATATAAATGGGTGGAGAGGATGGCTGTTTGAGGAGAGGATGGAGGCCATCATCAGGACTAATTTGTGAAACTGTTAATTCAGTTGGTCAGGGAAATTTATATTTGTCAGGAAAAAGTCAGGGAATTGCTGTTGCTGTGGCAACCATGCATGTTTGAGATTGATGGAAACTTCATATGCTCTTTCGAAGCACATATGAAATTAGCCGTCTGTAGAATGATATAATTGCGAATGCGCTAAAATGTGGAGATAAGAGTCTAGTTACTCTAGTTCATGTCAGTCTCTAATTAGTTTGCAGTACGTACACTTTTTGTCCTTTCTCTAGGAGTCAATTCCGGCCGTTGAAGCATTCCTGGTTCGCTATCTTTATACCTGGAATGGTTTGGACTTTAGGCCACTGGTGCTCCAACTTGTTACTCGTCTTAGCCTGTGGCCTTTTCAGCGTGAGTTATAGTCTTTGCAGTTGATCGCCAATTTTCTTTCTTTTCTCTTTTGTACAGCACATCATCCGCCTCTGATGTACCAGTACTTCGTTCCAAATTGCTTAAAAACCGTTGTAAGAAATAACTGAGAAACCAAAATAGCTTGATCTCTTCATCCGTTTTCAGGCACATTGGCATTTTTGTCCCTTTTCGTTTTTATTTGTGACGAAGTCCATGTGACCAAATAGGGTGGGCGCCGACATTATCACCCTCACGGAATTTCTTGCGTTGCCTTTTTTAAAGCTATATTATAGAAAACGAGTTAACTTAATCTTAGCCTGCGAAAACAGCCGTTTCTCCTCGCTCTTCGCCGCTGAGGACGTTTCGCGAGGAATAACGACGAGAAACGGCTGTTTTCGCAGGCTAACTTAAGCTCCAACCACTGGTTGGAAGCTCCGATGCAAAATTACGAACATTTCATGAACGTGCTTGTCGGACTGTGTGCTTGTCTTTTGCAGGTTTGAACGACTTGGTTCTTGAGCCTCTTAGAAAGCTTTTCTTCTCCTCTCAAGTTTATGTGAAGGTTAGTCAGTACTTGTCTTTTTTTCTTTCGGGAAAATGTTAACCGGGGGTCTCAACTGAAGCTAACTGAGTTTTGTGATTTCACTTTCTACGGTAGTAACGTGTGTTTAGTGAGTTACGATAGAACGCTTTCTGGAATTGTGTTATAACTAATCGAGCAACTGCTAAGAAAATTTTTCAAAACCACCGACATCATTCGTCGTGACCGTTTAATTTGATTAATATATGGTCGCCTAGGTCATAAACAAAGCATGTCCGCGTCAAAATGCTATATACAGCTATTTCGAGAAAGGTTGTCAGAAAAAATGTGCACGCGACAATCGCGAAAGGTACTATGGGATATGATCAATACACTGTTCCTGACACTGTAGTTGTCGAACCTACTTTTACTGCTTTCCTTTAGCACTCACAGACATACGTCCATGGCCTCTCATGCAACTCTTTCAAATTTCCTTGAAGAATTTGAGTGAACACAAAACCACCCAAAAATACCTTACGGGATGGTCGCGTGCACTTTTCCCGACAACCTTTCCCGAAATAGCTATATACAACTTTTCCAACAAATCAAAATAAAACTAAGACGCAAAGAGGCACTTTACTCCCCATGCAGTTTGAGTGGTCAATGATGTAAACATACTGAGGGTCATTTTTTTATATTTATTGTTGCTATGAATATTATTATAGTTGTTGTTATTCATTCGTTTTTTGATTAATACTGATGTAGTGCCAAGTGTTGTACTGCTTCACTGAGCTGCTGAGAAATTTCCTGGCTGTTGAGTTACCACGGCAACAGGAATTACTTCAGGAGGAGCAATCTAAGAGAGCACGTGACTTAACTAGGTAAGAATCATTTATCAGACACGCATTCGGGGCAGAGAGGGGTGGAGAAGACGAAATTTCGCCCCCGTCCATGCGCTCACCTTAAGAAGACAAACAAGGAGACTGGGGATTAGTTAAAGAACGGGAGAGGGGAGACTGGTGTCTGTTGTATGTCTAGCTGATTTTTGAAAACATACTTGCCGAAATTGTAGCCGTTTCACTGACAAGAAGCTAAAAAGGCAAGTTTCTTGCATCCGATAAGCGCGAAAAACTACACCAAGAAAGGAGAAGCAGAGGAATAATAGACATAGCGGGGAGAAAAAAAGGAGGCGAAGAGAAAAAATGCAATGGTCGCACTCTCAATTTTTATAAAATTATAAAAAAAACTACTTGGTTGTAGCGGTTTAAAAAATCCGGCTAGATCTATGTAATGTATTTTTTTCGTCTGGGAGTTGTTCAGTGTTATTAAAACAAGGAAAATTGAAATAAACTCAAATTCTGTTAGTTCAAAAATGTCGTTGACAAAACTCTTTTAAAAACCTTTTTTAGTGCCTATCTGTATGTATGTGTCATNTTGTAGCGGTTTAAAAAATCCGGCTAGATCTATGTAATGTATTTTTTCGTCTGGGAGTTGTTCAGTGTTATTAAAACAAGGAAAATTGAAATAAACTCAAATTCTGTTAGTTCAAAAATGTCGTTGACAAAACTCTTTTAAAAACCTTTTTTAGTGCCTATCTGTATGTATGTGTCATCGTTCAATTTCGACTCTGGTTTAAATTGTATTTTCCTCTGTTTTGGGGTATGGTAAATGTATGATGATGAGTTTGCAATAAAGGAGAAAAAAAGTGTAAATTAGTCAAGGACAAAATGAAACCACGACATGTATATTTTGGTTTTTACTGAATCTGCATTTAGTTTTGACGTCTCCATTTTTCCCAAAATGTCCAGTTTATCACTAATTTTAGTTGATGCTTACAGAAGAACATCTAACGTTAGTTCCTGATCTTTATTACAGCGTATCGTTATTTGTTGAAGATGAAGCAGAGTCGTTTGATCCACTCAAGACAATCTATGACTTCATTCACTTTGTGGACAGGATCTGTGTCGTTTCGCTTCAGGTATAAGACGGAACCAGGAGAGAATGATGTGACAGAAAGGAAAACGCTCAGTCTAGCCCTTGGGATATGTGAACTTTCTCCAAAGTTATTTTTAGACCAACTAAACGCTTGAATTAATGGAAAGGTGATTTCCGGAGAGGTCCTCAAACTTTACTCAGTGCTGTCAAGAGTTAATTCAACAGTCGCTATATAATACAACATTCTGCATTTTTTGCTTTGAGGTAGTCGCGCAGAGACTAGTGATGACATTTCAAACAAGCAATTATGATTTGCTCCGGGATGTTTAATTACAAGCTCTTAAAATAACTTAAGTCAGTGGAATTCACATATCCCGGCCAGTGTCCTAAGATTTCCTCTCCGTCCCATTATTCTCTCTAGACGTAACTAATCTACCTATCTATTTCGAGCGCACCCGCGGTAATTTTACAATTCTGTCCCATTCCCATCTGTTGGCCATGAAAGATGCAAGATCCTCCCTCGAAAGACCGGTGTCACTCTCTAGATGGTCAATAAATATTGTTGCTGGGCGCTCTCTTGAGCGACTGCCGCGTTTTGGATCCCAAAGAAGTAGTTGGGAAACAGTCTCATTCTTGCTTCTCCAACAGTGGGCAATAAACCTCAGCCGACGCATCTGGAGACTTGTTGAAATTGGAGGCAGATCTCCGTAAAGCTCCTTGTTAGATATATGATCTCTCAAGCTTATGTTCAGATCAGCACGTAGCAGCCTTGTGAAGCAGCCATCAAGTTGTTTTTGTAGTGCAAATAAAGGCATGCAAAACAAGGTCACATGCGCAACTGTAAGTTTTCTGTGAAAATGTGCAGTAGCCGTGAAGAGAGGCACAAAAAAACGACACAACTTGAGTGCGACGGCGGAAAAAATTAACCAAAACAACAACAACAACAACAAAATAGCGGAACCGGCTTTTTTCGGGAAATGGTACTTCCAGAAAAACCTACTATGGATGAAAAACACTGGAAAACGTGTGATTTGTGAAAAAGGAAAGCGAATTGTCTCCGAATCCAGCGGTTTTGTAAGAGCGACACTTGGTCAAAAAGTGATAAGGAAACCATTTAGGTCTCGTTTTTGTTCCGTTTTCCTTCGATTTATCGCAAACGATTAACGCTGGAGTTACAGATTGGAACAGTGTTAAGTGTTTTGTCTGTTTATTTTCCAGGTTGAAGGAGACCACGCCCTTTTACAACACTGGATTCTGAATTTTTTTGAGCTGGTGAGTTGGAACACTCCGGGCGCTTTCCATTCAACCCAAAATTCTGGAAATTTCGGTTGGTACATCAAATGGAACGGACCATTTCGGTTTGGTCCGACCGGAATATTCGGGACCAGCCTTGAAGGTGGTCAACTTTGACCAATCTGGTTATTTCGGTCGGTCGGACTGAAATGTCCCTTTCCATTTGACAAAACTGTTGTCCCCAGTACCGCTGTTTTGTATCCTGCTTACAAGAACAATAACCAAACGCGTGGTGGCTTGGATCGGGTCTGTGCAACCGGAATGTACCGTTGCATTGGGCACGTGAAATTTCCGAAATTTCAAACCAGGATTTTTGTTGAATGGAAAGCGCCCCCTGTTCCAAAATTAATGAAGAATTCCCTATTTCAGAAATAAGGGGAATAGGTACAAGCTTTAGGCGCAACGATTTGTTGGATTTTTTGGGTGGATAAGGGCTACTTATGATTGGTTAATAGTTGCCTTGAATACCATCGACCGACCAGTCATAACTAACTCTTGTCCATTCAAATGATCCCAGAAATCACTGCGCCCAAAGCTCATACCCATTCTCCCTGGGGTTCCTGAACTGGAGAATTGGTTCATGCCTAGCGAGACCAGTTGGAGGAAAGGTCCCAAGAGAGGATGGGCAGGGATCCTCTCTCTTGGACCCTTGCTCCAGCTCGCACGCATATAGCTCAATCCTTATGTGCCTCCCTCAAACATCTCGTGCTCTCTACGCCAGGGTGAGTTGCTCGAGGCATTGTCAAGGTCAATTTTAGCCAGAGAGGATAAAGATCCTCTCTTGATTTTAGCTTGTCGAGTACTCTCCAAACTTCCCCCAAATTCCAAATAAGTTGACTTAAATGAATTTTTTTTAAATGGGATTACAAGGCCGTTCTGGAACCACTTTTGTCTAAGACGCACCTTGATTGAAGATTAGTTTGTTGCCCATTCTGCATATTTGTCTTTGTTTTTCGATCTTTCAGGTGTCAACTTCCCACAGGCAGTTTTCTCTTCCTTTTGTGCTGATTCCTTCGTCAGGAATCATCTACAGAATGCTGTTTTCAAATAATTCTATGGCAGTCTCAAGATTATGTCATATCATTGTCAAGTAAGTACTCAACTGAGGAAAAAAGGCGAGGGGCCTGTCGATTCAGGCTAAAAATATTAGACCGGAAAATTCGATCACCCAGGGCCGTTCAATATTTTCGCTCAATTCACACGGACCTATATACGGCTAAGCGTCTACATTTTCGTACGGTTAATGTTGTTCCGTGTGAACGGAAAAACTAACTGCACGACGTTTCAACCGGTTCGGTGCTGTGCGGTGTACACGTGTCCTCAAACTAAGTTCGATAGAGTGATTTTCGTATGACCTTGAAAAATGGTTTCGGTAAGTTTTCGTTATTTGTTTTTTCATCCAATGGATGAAAAGATCAAAACATGGACTCTTCGTTTTCCAGCCAAAGAAAACCCTAATATGGAAAAGGCATTGTTCGATTGGCCAATCGTGTTGAAGTATGACGTCAAAGCAAATTATCGGTTGATTTCTAGAAAGTTCTCGGGCATGAAGTTTTTTCACCCGAGCGTTCGTTTAACCAACGAAAAGCCACACGCGCGTTCGTATCCGTTCAATAAACCAACCAAGTCGCTCTCTTTCCGTTCGTTTGTTGTTTCTGTTTTGTTGGCGAGTTTTGATTTTGAGGTGATACGAAAATCGCTCTAACAACGGGCAATGCAAATGAAATGGGACGTCTCGTTGAGGACGTGAACACACGGTTATGAGTTTTCCTTTCTCGTTTTAAAGTTGGACGCGTCCCCTAATAATGAAACTCCAGAAAAATTCGCCTACATACCTTTGGACAAAATGATTGGATTAAAGTAATCGCCATGACGGCTGAACCAACGTCGTTTCATAAGCTGAAGTAACCACGGCGACAACGACGACGATCAAGACAACAGCTCTGCACGTGCGTCACGCTTTTTAGTACATTTCTTTGACGTCCACTGCACGACTACGACGTGAAACCTCCTAATGCGTCGTTTTATGGAGGAAGTGAACACACGACGACGAACTTTCCTTTCTCTTTTTGAAACTGGATAAAATCCTTAAGAATTCAACTTCAGGAAAAATCGCCTACTTTTGACAAATTGAGCAGTCCAAATAGACGCGATTAAGTTTGAAAGGACGCAAATTCATTTTTTAGCGACATTTTCGCCGTCGACGTCATAGTTGTCGGTGCTCCCCAGCCCCAGGCCCGGTTTTTGTGGGATTGACCAAAGCGTCAAAGTAATTTAAACTAATTCCAAAGTCTTATCGATCTATTGCTTTTCAGTTACAAGAAGGAGTTTGAATCGCTCAAAATATCGCAAGGAGAATCTCAGGTACGTTTCTATGGGCAAAGGGAAAGGGGCAATGCACAGATTTGCAGTCAAGATTTTGCCTGGTTTCTTGTCGTTGGCTAAGACAAGTGCCATAAGAAGAAATTTTACCGTAATTGTATGAGGCAGCCTTACCAACACTGGTCCTGCGAATGTGGTCACGGGGCAGAGAAGGAGTTTTGAAAAATCAACGATACAAGATCCAGTTTCTGAAAACTGCAAAAATTTATCCGCAGCAGGAAAACCTATATTTTGCAATCTTAAAAAAAAAAAAACGGCGATCGGCAAAATTAAACTCCCGCAAAAATTTCACGCCACACGGTATGTAGGTCCGCACTGTGTATATACTGTCTACAACCGACAATAGCTCAGTGGTCAAAGCGCCTGTCTGGTGTCTGAATTGGATTGGTGATTGGGTTCCCACTGAGCATTCGGACATATTGATCTTATTCCTTTGCCCTACGCTTGTCACGACATGACAGATATAACATCTTCCTCGGGTTTGTTTTTTGTCAACAGAGCACTCCGCTGGCATTTCCTGATGGATTTCAAAGTATACAGAGATTCAATCAGTACATTTTGGATATTTGCGATAGTCTGTGGCGAAATAAAGCTTTCATAGATAGAGAGAAATCATTTTGTTTCAGCATTCCAAGGTTGGTGATATACCATCGATTGCATTTAAGCGTGGACATGAGACAAGAAAACATCTTCTAATAGAGTGCTAGACATGACATGTTTGGTCGCCAAACATTGGAAGTTTGAGGGCTGTTAAAGCAAACTGTTGCGCCAAAGGTTTAAGTTGTTTATATGTTTTTGAGCATCGCGTTCCGATCATCTTTTATTTTTCTCAACTTTCAGGAATATTAGAAACAACGCACTTGCTTTTAAGAATTATTCTTTGGAGTTTATAATTCCAGACTGATTCTTCTCAACGGAGAAAAAGCAAATCTAGTCGACAAACAGCCGCCTACTTTGCATGTGAACTTTCGTCTAACGCCATCCCAAACTTCGAATGTTTGGCGGCAAAACATGTCATGTTTGCATCCTTTTTGTCACGTGTACACGCTTAGATATAAACAGGAGATAGGTAGTAAGTCGAAGATCTGCTAAGCAACGGAAGTAATGCTTTCTTTGACTGCAGCTGCATCATAGAGGTACCGTATTTACTCAAATAAGCGTTGCATTCAGGGAAAAATTAAAAGGCGCCGCCCCCGAATAAGCGCCGCGGCCCTGATATAATCAATATCGAAAGACTACATTTCTTTGTCGCGTTCAACTTTCAAGTAAATGCCACCTTCGAATAAACGCTGCACTTGAAGCGTAAAAAATATCACAAGCGCCTCGGTGCTTATTAGAGTAAGAGTAAATACAGTGCTTTAGCACCCGCGCTTGCTTTACGAATAAAAAAATGAAAATGCTCAAAACGATGAGGGAAGTTAAAATCGTTGAGACGCAAGTACTGAGAAGGAGAGAAGAACAGCGGTATGTGAAGTCCTGCCTCTTCCTGATAGCAGTGTGTATTCACTTTGCAACCGTCGTTTGGGGGCAAATTTAAGAAAACAGCCGCTTGGTTTACCGTGAACTTTTAGAGAGAAACAAGAGCGTGGGGCATAGAAAGAATCTAAGTTTCTTTTAGAATAAGAACTCACGAAATCCAAGCTACTTTCATTTCGTTTTCTTTTCTTTTTAAGCTCAGTGACTGACTCTCTTGCTGTGCGCCACATGAACGAGTTGTTTTCAATTCATCACCACATATCTTTGGTGGGAGAAGCTTGGAAATTTCTTCATCAGGTGAGGGACTGATTGCTTCTTCACGAGTTGTCAAGTTAAACACATCAATACGAAATTCTGCTTTCTCCAGTCACAGTTCCCTAACTTGTTTAGTAATAAAGCCTTTCAAAGCGTTCGCATCGGGTTTACAATCCGAATCTGACTTAATATTTTCTTTTCAAATTTCAAGACTCAGTCTGAAGGCATGAAGCTCACTCCAAGTTTAATTAAGGTAAGGACTTGCCCGCAAGATCATTTTAATGATAAACTTTTACCTTGAAAACGAACTTTAGGATTTTTTCCTTATCTGGTAAAAACAGATTCCTTGAGCGTAAACAGACTAAAAACTTGACGCGTCTGACTTCGCTAAACCAATCAAATTGGCACCTGAATTCTTTGTTCGTTTGTTGTCTTCATTCGTAAACTTTACACGACAATCGCTCAATGACTTTCTTGGCCCTCATAAAAGAGGTTAAAAAATGGAAGGGCGATTTCTACCAGGTATTCTGCCTAACGTGGCCCTTGTCAGTGCTACTATCAAAACAGACAGACGTTTCTTCTTGTTTTCTCTTTTGCAGGGCCGATCAAGACGTGCTTACATGGACTATTTAAAACAGAGAAATATTGGGGGTATTCTTGTATTCCTGGATACGTTTATCAGACCACGCTCGTGAAATCGATACGGAATCGTTGTGGCTTAGAGGTACTGAATAATTCCTAGGGCGAAATAGACCTAAAAACGTTGATTAAAAAGACACATATGAACTTGACACAAAGTTTATCGTTTTGGGGCGTGATTGAGATTGTCCGTCGTGCTGAAGCTACTCATTCCATGAAGAGAGTTAATATACATGCTGACAAAGGAGATATTTTTCAGTTAATCTTGAAGTCGCTTGCATGGCGTTTTCCCACAGGTCTTAAGCTTCATGGTCATGAGTTTCGGTTGAAGAATCCGTCAATTCATCGCTGGGCAACGTGACCCGAACAAATGCACCGAAGGGATAAGGGAAGGCAAACTCAAACGACCAATAAGTGGCTGAACAGAGCTTTTTCATTTACTTTCGCTAGCAAGGCTATCTTTTTTTATGATGCTTTGTTAGAGGCCAAAGGTTTTTGCAGTTAACAGGGAATGTTAGCTACACTCTACCTACACTTTTACGGAAAGAGTGGACACAGGGGAAAGAAGGAAATATGATCTTTGTAAACAAAAAGAAAACTGCACCAGTCCTTGAAGTTAAGTTTTTATTTGGAAAGGAGCTGTTAAAGCTGAAGCACCATCTGTATAGCTAAATGTGATTTAAAGACAATACAAAAATGACCAAGCTATAACACAGTGTAACCTTGCTGCTGTGTTTGTTTCAACGTATGCTTCATAAACTGCTTCCAACTTTGGTTCTCTTATCACCAGCGACTTTTTACTTAACATACCCAGAAATTAATCGTCACTTATAAGAATTGGCAAGTCTTAACTGAAACTTTAAATTAAAATGATAGCTGAATCGTAGGACAAATATATTTGAGGGTAAATCTTTACTAAAAAAAGAAAGAAAAGATAGAAAACCAAATAAAAGAAACATGCTTAAACTGGAAAATTTGTCAACTGAATTACAAAGATGGAAAACTCAGTTTCGAAAATTACTGTAGACACGAGCAGGTTATAATTCATCTCTCTCGTAATGCAAGACCTGGAACTGCTTCAGGATATTTTTTCGCTTTTCAAGTTCGTCTGCCTTATTAGCGTGCAATGGACCGGCGATTAAGCGTTCCAATCGATCAATTTCCTCCTTAACTATTCCAGCGCCATGCTCTGCAATTCGAACCATCACAGAAACATAAAAATTGGCTTCCGTCTGGAATTCAGCTTGTGCTAAAGCTTTGTGTTTTGCTGCCACCAATATTTCTCGGCGTCTTCTGTGTTCTGTCATAAACTGGACCGCTAGGTCGTTGAAGTCATCCAAGAGACCCGCCTGATAAAAGGAATACAAAATATGAATTCACTTTTCCCTACTGTTGAATGTAAAGAAGATCAACCCAGTTATATACGCAACCTTTTCAATTACCAAAAGAAAGTCTAAGAAAATTCAGGCTTGCGCTCTATTCGAAATCTCCACCTCTATGATATCGATGCAGCGCTTTCTGTGTTCTGACTAGTTTAGCCAACCGGCCAATGGGTAGCCTGCGAACGCACACCTATTTCCGGTCGTCGCTTCCCTCCACCCGAAACGTAAGTAATTTTTGGCTGACCGGAAATACGATTTCGTTCGCAGGCTAGCCACTGGGGAGCTGGTCATTTAGTCGGTTCGTTGAAAACCCTTGGCGGATAAAGATGAAATAATGAATATGTTGTGGTTCAGTTTTACCTTGGTTTGAATTATATTTTCCGTTGTTTCAAGCTCGTTAATGGTACTTCATCACACCCAAAAACAAAGCATAAAAGTGAACCACAAAAAAATATTTAAATAGTTTACCAAAACTGGGGATAAAAAAATTAAAATAAACCTGCGTAACAGCCATTTTTTGGTGTGTTGTTTGTACATTTCATTTTGACTGGGTGAAGACGTCTTTCTTTACTAAGAGGTTTATAATAATGTGGCTCGTTACGTCGTGGTTCCTCTGCATTTAAAATGTCAAAGAGGGGATAGACGATTCATGTCTCTGTTTTATGCCAACGCTAAGAACCCTTTAAGTAAAGTTCTGAGAGTTAAGGAGACAATATTGAAGTTTCACACTAACGGCATCTGATTGAACGCGATAATTTTAACGTTGAGGTACCTTTCGTTAAGTTTCTCAAGTTAAGACGAAGCTTCCAACAACTCGGTCCTGTCTGCCACAAACTCACCTTTTCGTTAAGTCGTCCTCGCAAAATCCTCTGCGTCCCACACAAAGCGTTCATAAATTTGGTCATATTCGTCTCGCTGAAGCTCTCCTGATTCGTACCGGGCTCGTACACCACGCCGTCTTTGTTGTGCTGTGAGTACACTTTGAACCTGGGATAGTGCGGAATGCCTTGTTCAATACAGATCTGCGGATCTGCGTCACAATTCAGTCGACCGATCAGACATTTTGGCTCGTTCCGGAAGGTCACCCCTACGTTGTACAGAGTGCCTTGTAAACTGTTGCAGAGATCGCAGTTGCCATTGTAGTAGAGGACCATGATACTTCGTGCTCTGTCTTTGACGATGCGTTCAAAGTTTGATGAGCTAAGGTCGATGACTGGAGTCAGGAAAATGCCAAGATTGAGGCGTTGGAAGGCTTTAGTTTGGATGAAACGGATCAGATCTTGGGGATGGCTGCTGCCTTTATAACTGCAAAATGGAGAAAGCATGCAGTTATAAATATACCGTTGCCGATGAGGCCTCTTTGACGATATCGACTGTTGACAATGTACCAAAAGTCTTATGCAGAAGTCTTAACCGGCTTACTATTACAACATTTAAGACTGTAAAATACTGTTCATTGTGTTTTACGAGTTGATTTTCATTTTGGTGACTATGAATTGATATTATGCAACCCTGAGTTGTGTATAACTATTCAAATGAAAGCTACTCTGCAAGCAGTACTGTGGAGCATATGCAAGTAAGACTTGATTACTTGATGAAAATGTGGTTATTTTAAGCTTGGCAGTTCTAACTTCTAAACAATAAATGAAATTATGCTATACTGGGTGGTTTTAGCTTTTTAGTCTGTATTTCCAAACTTAGTGTGTCAATTCAAATGAAAGTGACTGAGTGGTACTTTTCTGTGGTACTGTCTACTGTGCAAGGTGGTTTAGACTTATGAGTCAGTGGATTTCATGAAATCCTAAAGTGTACCAAATTCTCAAATGAAAGCAGTTCTTTTTTTGAGTTTCCGTGAATTCCGCCACCAAGGCCGTCTTCAGTAGTATAGTATATGGCGGTAAGAGCACATTTTCCATATTTTGGCTCTATATTTTGGGCCATAATTTCACAAATCATACATAACACCAACACAGTTGAACTGGTATCATACTGTTATGTATGATTTGTGAAATTATGGCCCAAAATATAGAGCAAAAATATGGAAAATGTGCTCATACCGCCATATACTATACTACTGTCTTCCTACAGATGTTTGGGTGTTTGAAAAGTTGAATACTAAAATTATTCTTTGTTTTTGTTCGATTTATAATAGGTAATGCCAAGAATTGTATACTTACGTTTCCTCTGTGATACTTCCTTTGATAAAATACCGAAAGGAAGGGTATTCATCGATCCAATATCTTGTACCCAGTTTGACTTCTTCGTACGCATTTACTTTAGCAATGAGCACATCATCGCGGTCTGCATATGCGTCGCCAACTTCTTCATAACGTTCAAGAATTTCTACGCATCGGTGTTCCCAACTCGCGTAGAAAAAAACGAAGACGAAACGTTCACCGTCAACGAATTTATCAAAATTGTAAAGAGTAAGTTCTTTGACGTGTGAACTGTAGGCAGTGAAAACCAAGTTAACGAGGATAGCAAAAACAAAATGAGCTCGCATCTTTTGACGTTACTTGGAATATCTTGGTCTGATATAATCTACTGCGGCGGAGTTCAGAGAAATCCAGTACAACAGGTGCTGCTTTGATAAAATTACGTCAAGCTGGAAGTTGAAAACCTGCAGGAAGTTTTTTTAAACTACCGAGAACTACACCTAGATAATCTCGTGTCTTGCTGTATTTTCTTTGTTTCATACATAAGATTACGTGTTTTGCTCAGAGTAGAAAGTAACCATCCACTAAAAAGAGCACATGTGTTCGCTTGCAGCGCTAATGAATTCATCATAATGTAGCAAACACTTACAGCTAATCAAACAAAACGTTTGGTTTGATTAACAACAACTCAAACACGTCAGTAATTTACATTTGATTGTAAAACATGGAGACTTCACCTGGACCACAGCTAGACGAAAATTCTTTCTGAGACCGCGGTATTATAAAAGCTACAAATGTTAATTTATTTTAGTTAGACATTCAATGCAAGGGAAACACAAGAAACTCCACTGAAAGTTTTACCTCGGTTGCCTCTTTACTTGCTAAAACCTCAAAGTGAAAGTAGAAAGCGAAGAATTTGTGTTCAATTTCTTTACCGTTAACTTATAAAAATTAGTATTTATCAGATTGCAATAGGACCGTCGCTTGCAAAAATGTTACATCTCCTCGCGCAAAACAAAACCTTTGCTTCAAAAACCAGTTTGACTCAAATTTTTCATACTCGGAGTATGAAAACATTCTTCTTTGTTTTGTCCTTACATTCAGTCTTTCCTCCTTTGTTTTGAAAATTTATTCGAGGAAGAAAAAATGCAGCCAATTTAGGATTTCTGTAATGCCGTTTCTTTTCACTTCCATTTTTTATTTTGGCAAGAAAAGATGATTTGATAAAAATTTCCAGATTGTGAGAATCTCCTCATAATACGTTTTTTTTTTAACTTTTACTTTGCCTCAAAATTTTTCCTTATTATTGGCTACTTCGATTTTCATTGAGTAATATATTCCCAGCTGTGTTGATTCACCATTGTATCAATGATGCCGAATTCATTAAAACCAACGTCACTTGGAATTCTTGCATGGAATTCTTGATTCGAAGACTCGGGCAAGAAATTATCTTTGGGGAATATAACGCTTATTTTGATTCAGCCAAAATGTATCACCCGCNTGTTGATTCACCATTGTATCAATGATGCCGAATTCATTAAAACCAACGTCACTTGGAATTCTTGCATGGAATTCTTGATTCGAAGACTCGGGCAAGAAATTATCTTTGGGGAATATAACGCTTATTTTGATTCAGCCAAAATGTATCACCCGCTGACAGAAAACCAGCCAAACCGGTTAAATGGCTACAGTCCTGTACCAGTTTATCCGGCTTATCCAGTTTATGGCGACGTCCCCATAGACGTAGTCTGTCCGTACTGTCAGACGAGAGTTTTCACTGTCACTACCAAGGAAGATGGAAACCTCACTTATGCTGCAGCGAGTCTGCTGTGTTTTATGGGGTAAGCGAAAGCTTAGAGCAGTTCGATATTTCTTTTCTTTGCTTTGTCACTTTTCTTGAGATGTGAAATCCGTCTGCCCTTAAAAGATAGCCCGTTTGAGGCGTTCGTATAGTGAGGGACGGAGCAATTCTAAAATCAAACAAGGAAAACAGAGAGAGAACTCCGCTCTTTATTTTTCCCTGCTCACTTCTGGCCTAACGCTTGGAACAGGCAATGAAGTGGATTCACGTGAAAATACAACCATACTGAACCATTGAACTTAAAGGGGATTTACACACTTATTTTTAAGTCGTGTCAAAGAACCGCTTTGTTGGTTTTGCAGTAACTTAAGTCTGTTTTACTTTTTGTTTTTTACGTGTTCGTCGTATAAGAATTGAAAGGGACATACTCGGAACGTTTCATATATCCAAAAATCAAAAGTTCACTTCAACGATTTAAAAGAGTAAGATAACGTAATTCTCTCGGTTCTCTGCATAAGCGCGTATTCTGGGACGTTCCGCTTTTTTAAAACAGAGAGCTTAATATGAAACGACCAGGGCAACACGCGAACTCCGAACGTCAAAAAGGAAGAACCGTGGGTTCAGTAAGTAAAACAACAGCTCTGCTCGTTCAGCACTCCTTGATTCATTTCTTCCCCGTCACCGCACGACACGGTGAATTTCTTTCTCTTTAAGTTGCACGTGGCCCCTGACAAATTCAACCCCAGAAAGTGAACTGCCGGGATATTTACGATGACGTTTGAAAGAACGCACCCGGCGAGCACTGCCTTGTTGTTTCCTTTCTAGAGTGCTCTAAAATCGAGAAGTTGAAAGAAAGGCTCTAGTACAATCCTGGACAAAACTACTTGAGCATGTTTTCCCCATCATGTCCACTGAGCTTATGCAACAAAGCACTGTTAACGTTATTGTAGGGGGTTAAGACCTCTCCCGATTGCAAAATGCTACAACTTCTAACATTTGATAACTTGTTTCCGCCACTACGACACTCTCGCTTAAAACTCGTTGTAGAACGACCACTTATGACAACGACTACCTCGTTTTCCCGGGAAAATGACGCCGGTTTACGAGCGAGCACTATTCGCAGTCGTCCTCGTCTTACAATCTAAAGGTCTCTATCAATGACGTTTTCACTGCCGCTGTCTTGACGATTTCGAAAGTTCTCCAAGTTTGGATCAGAGACTAAGCAGTGGCGTAGCTTAAGGTTTTGAAGGTGTACGCACTTGGAAGAAAAGTTAGAGCGCTCCAAGGTGGTCTGGGGGCATGCGCCCGCGGAAATATTGTTAAATTTAGGGTTTCTGAAATGCCATTTCTTGTGTTTTCCTCAGGACATGCAGTAGTTAGTTGTTTATTTGACCCACATCTAGTGTTATCGGAAAGGTACAGTGTTCACGGAAAGAAAAAAGGGTAAAACGGTAACGCCGTCAAGGAGGTTACAAGCAAAGCGCGGACTTCTACCCTTCAGACGGGCAAACTATGTAACAACGCCTTCAATATCAACGTCCTTTTGCTTGTGTTTGTGCAGAATTGCAAGAGAGCTCAATCTTTCCCCACTATAACGTTTCTTACCGTCCGTTTATGGAATATTAAAAGAATAACGGAAATTACACTACTACATGAGAAATTTCTGCAATCTGATTGGCTTAGAGCAGTGGTATTTCAGCTTAATTTGAAATACCTACATGTGAAAATTACAAACCTTTTGCGGGTAGTAGTATAAACAAATAATAGCATGATTTGTACGTGATATTTGGCGTAAATACCACTCGTGATATTTCAAAATTGTCTCAAATTTGAAATTACGTATAACAATTTCGAAATATCACTCGTGGTATTTATGCCAAAGATCACTACAAATCATGCTATTACCTATACTAAT